GATGTGGCACTTCAAGACATGGTTAGTGGGTTTAGCGGCAATGGTGGCATCGAGTATACGGTTGGACTTCATCTTTGAGGTCTCTTCCAATCATAATGACTCTATGAGATTAACACAAGCATAGATATGGAGAAGGTAATTCTTTCTCTTGTTATGCCAGAAGGCAGACATAAAAGCCCCATCATCTGTCCTCAGAATGTACAACTACTTTTGTTCACGATAAAGCTCCCACTAAAAAAATAATCCCATGGTCTTACTGCTCAGACTGTGTGTAATCACCTACAGACATGTCCACAACTTCACCACAGAGGCATGTTTACAACTGCTCTTGGAGCTTCCTGGGAATTTCCCTGGCTATTGATGCTTTGGCAATGTCTAAAGGTCATGCTGGGTTAATGCCTCATATATCTTGAGATCTGGATTTTAGCTTGATGGTATCAGCACAGATGACTACAGCTGCTTGAGCCTTGTGCAACGGAAACTTCAGTTTGCATCACTGCATGCTGGAGCTGCTGTGGGACGGAGGAGAGACTTCCTGGAGTAACTAAGACAGTCAATATGGGAGAGATGGATTTTCAGAGTGCGGTGAGGTAGGGCTGGTGCCAAACAAAGAGCCTGCTACTGTCATGAAGAAAACCTTAAAACTCTTACTCAATGCCCAGAGTTGACAGTATTTCACTGCACAGCTTACTCCAGCAGAGCTCAAATGTAAATACAGAATTCAGTATTTCCAGCAGAAATTATTTTTCTTCTATGAGAAGGTAATAAATGACATTTTGCAATACACCATCAGGTCCATATATGACTTTTTCTGCTTCACTAAATCACATGATGATTTGCTGGAACAGAGAATATAAGGAATTGGAATTAGTTGGCCATCACTGCAGCTCGCATGAGCAAGTGTGAAGTGCACATTTGTGGAAAACTACATCTTGTGCTTGCATGAAAAGAGACACTGCAATCTACTTCTGGTCTTTTAGACCATTTAAGTTGCCATTAAATTTTAAAATATTACTTAACTTAGGATATTGCCTATTGACAAATAAAAAAAACACTGAAAATGCCACTCAGACGCTCCTTACTTGCTTCTGACACTTGTGAGTATCTCAACCACATGTAGTAAAAATAAAAAAATACTTTCTCATAAGAAAATGTACTTCAGGTGATGACAGTGTAATGAAATACTTGTTATCACTTTAATACTTATCAATTTATAATTCAAATCAAAGCTGTTAAAGGCCTGTATAGATAAACAGCGCAGCATGAATCTATCTCTGTAGCCGAGAGCTAAAACAGCCTTTCAGAAAGGTACAAAATAATTTCCTTCTAAATATTAACTCAGATCATTGTACGTTGCACAACTGGAAAACAGACAAACAGATAGGAGATGAAATTAAGACACTTCAGTGTGAACTCTGTCTTACTTGGGAATTTCTATTGAACTACTAGATCCTTACGGAACTTAATTCTGCTAAAATCAATGGGCAATTTACTATCTGCTTCAGTGGCAAGGACTTAACTCATGGAATCATATCCAGATGGAACATTGAAGGACATAATCAAATTGGTACCTGCACTCATCAGGGTTTGTACTAAATTAAGCACTGAATCTATAATAAATAAGCACAAGAGCTTAATGTGAATGAGCCAATGATGCTTGAAATCCTGCATCTTTTGTCTTTTCCTTTTGGTGTTCAAGTACTTCTCTTCTGTATCAAGTAACTGTGGAGGGTTTAGCAACATACTACCATTGTGGAACTGCAAATTTGTAAAATCGGTTGGAAAGAAGAGGAAGTTTGTTGGAAAGTAGAAATAAAATACAAGTTTAACTGGTAAAATACACTGCTGAGAATGTTGAGGAAATGCAGCCATCAAGTTACATGCAGTGATGAGTACCTAGACACTCACAGAATCACAGAATCATCAAGGTTGGAAGGGACCTCTGGAGATCACCTAGTCCAACCCCCTGCCAAAGCAGGTTCACCTACAGCAGGTTGCACAGGATGTCGTCCGGGAGAGTTCTGAGTATCTCCAGAGAAGGAGACTCCACAGCCTCTCTAGGCAGCCTGTTCCAGTGCGCTGACACCCTCAAAGTATAAAAGTTCTTCTCATATTAAGATGAAACTTCCTGAGTTTCAGTTTGTGCCTGTTGCCCCTTAACCTGTCGCTGGGCACCACTGAAAAGAGTCTGGCCCCATCCTCTTGACACCCACCCTTAAGGTATTTATAAGCATTGATCAGATCCCCTCTCAGTCTTCTCTTCTCCAGGCTGAACAGACTCAGCTCCCTCAGCCTTTCCTCATAAGGGAGATGCTCCAGTCCCCTCATCATCTTCATTGCCCTCCACTGGACTGTCTCCAGTAGTTCCCTGTCTTTTTTGAACCAGGGAGCCCAGAACTGGACACAGGACTCCAGATGTGGCCTCACCAGGGCAGAGTCAACAGGGAGGACAACCTCCCTCGACCTCTGGTCACACTTCCTAATGCACCCCAGGATACCACTGGCCTTCTTGGCCACGAGGGCACATTGCTGGCTCGTGGTCAACTTGTTGTCCACCAGGACGCCCATGTCCTTCTCCACCAAGCTGCTTTCCAGCAGGTCAACCCCCAAGGAAGTATATTCAAGGAAATATTTTACAAGAGAGGTCAGACCCAGTCCCTAAAATGCAGATGTGTTGGCCAGTGCTAATGGCATCAGCACTACAAGATATGCTCACTGCCAGGCAGTGAAAAGAGTGGATAGATATGCCCTAGAGAATAAGGAAACCAAGCAGTGGAGGATAAGAGTATACATGGGAAAATGACCAGGATGGGGCAAATACTTCTCTCTAATACAGAAGAGATTATGGATGTATTCTCCAATTGTGATTTAAAGGCACAACAAGTTTTACAAGATAAAAAAGAGAGAATCTGAAATAATTATTCTGTTCTGTAGATAATATTCCAAACCCATATGATCTTGTATTTCATACAAATCAAAGGACATTTATGCAAGTCAGTGTCCTTTACACAGTCTGAGGAGCCTAACTCAAACAGATTTACACCATTACTATAAAAACTCACATCATTTCCCAGACAGGCATAGTAATAATCTAGGTTATTCTTTTCATTGTCTTTCTGATGAAAATACGATGTCTGACCCTGCAATGTAATTATCTTTCCCAACTCAACTCCTACTTTACAAATACTGCACCACTCCAACTTTTTTCCTCTTTTACTTACTTTGGAATTTAGCATTGCTCAGAGTCCTCTTTCAGTTATTCTACATTTGTTGATTATTTTAATACACTGAAATTCTGTGCAAAGATGAGTTTTTACTCTCTCTCCAGCCACAAAAGATGACATTCCACTGGTGTCTGGCAACTTAATTATTGCGTGTTTTGCATTAAGACTCAGACTCACAGACGGAAGGTGAAGGAAGGTGTCTATGTGCTTACGCATATACACTCTCAGAGTTAATAAACAAGAAGTTAAAAAACACAACAAAACCCTTTCAGATTCTTCCAGCTTCTGTCAGGAATTATCTAAAACTTAAATTGTTTTATTTAGTCCACAATTCCAAAGAGCGCTAGCTTTGTCTCTCTGCTTACATTCAAAATATTTGGAGTAATGTAGTGAAAAGGCATAGTGAGAGACTACTACAGTAAGACCCTACAAGGGAGGGAGCAAGCCTGTGATGAACACTGTGTCCAACATACATCCATAAAACCACATGCAACTCCTGACAAGACAACCTCACAGCACATAATAGAGTTGAAGTGAGGTTAAGCCTGGAATTCTAACTTTAATTGTCTTGTTCTAATTGTCTTAATCCTCCTGACTTTTTTCATTGTAAGATCACAAATAACTTGTGTACATATTGGTTCCGAATAAAACACTCAGACATGAGTTTATTGTTTCTCTTAGTTGGAATTTCCTAGAGGAAAAATATTGCTAAAACAATTTAAGAGCATATTCAAAATTAAGACTGCATATTGACCCAAATGACTATAAATTAACTTGGAAAAAAAAAAAAAAGACAATAATTTCGTTCTTTTCCAAACAAACCACGAAAATAACCACAACAAAAGAGCATTTCAAACAGTCACTGAACAATACTGCAAAAGTATGTTTGTTCATAAAGATAATGACAGTTCCTTTGGAAGGAAGATGAGTTCTAGCACCTGAGGCTGAAAGCTGTGTGTTTTGAGAAGCGTGCTGTAAAAAATTAAAATATTTGAGCTTCCTTAATCTTTGATGCATGTTCAACAAAACCAAGAGAACTACTTCACTCAAATCTGAACCATTTCACTTCTCAATAAATTGTGTTTTTAGAGGAGCAAGACAGGTTTCCTGACAAGCACCTGAAAGACGCGTTTTGAATTTGTTTCAAAGGTGTAGCTTTTCTCAAGAAAACCATACTGAGGACTGTTCATTCTCATGCATGACACTGTTGCTCAAGGCTGTTGCCAAATGTCACAGTACCACTTGTGACAGCCACAGGGAGAAGGGGGAGTTTTCACAATAGGAATTGTGCAATCAGATTAGCCAGTCCAAGGAGGATTATAAAGATGTGAATGATCAATGCTGGCCACGTCAGCTGCCCAGCACGATGCAGGGAGATCACGTAGATGAGAGACGGATACACGAATACAAAGGCCAGACCACATGTGGCTCCAGAGTATCTAAGGGAAGTGGGGGAGAGGGGAAGAAAAGAAACAAAAGAAAAAAAGAATGCTGTGTGTTAACTTTTCTTTCTCTTGTCATTTTCCCCCCACAAACCAGTGAACAGTCTGGCTGAACAATGACTATCTGCAGTCGCTAAACATCAATTTCTGTTCCTTGCTGTCCTTCACCTCCACTGGCATTTAACTATCCCCATCTATGTTGCTCAGCTCCCTGCTCCCCTGTACCTGCCCTCTGACATGCCCCTGGTGTTTCAGCCACATCCCCAGATGCTTCTGGGGACTGACTCCGTATCTTTGACTTGATGTTTCTACTTTCTTTGCGGAAATTTGTCAACACACAGCAGAAAAAGTCTGGATAGTGCATCCTTTTTGTAGCCTTCCTTTACTGTCAGAACTACAAATCTCATTGCACCCCAGCCACCTGAGGACACATGTTAAAGCATGTAAGCACAGAAATGCTCTTGAATCTGCAACTTTTATTTTGATTTATTTAATGAGCTCCTAGTAAACCATTCTCTAGACCTGAGAAGATGAACATGCCCTCCTAGTAACATGGTCAACCACAGCAAGTGAAACATTTAACTGTTCTATTTCTAAACCACTCCCTTGCTTACTAAAACCTTCTCACTATTTTCCCCCACTGTCAGTTTCCACCTACTAAGCTGTACTGCAGCCAGATGTGCATTATTAACTACAAAACATAATTTATTTTAAATATTTGAACATTTCTTTTAGCCAGAGTAAACATCATAATAGAGAGTAACCATCTGCAACACAAAACCAGCAAATACCAAAGTCAGACTGTATATAGAAAATTTATCAGCTGGAAATTCACTGTTCAAAATGTTTGATTACTACGCACAGTATGAACACATTAGCAGAGGTCTGGATCAGTCTGCAAACAGAGAAATATATTGTATGATATTTATTTGGAATTAATAACTAGACCATCTCTATTACTGGAATAAAAAAGTTTCACTAAAAGGAGGGGTAGAAAAAAAAAAGGAAATGGAAAAAAACCTCAAGATCAGCCACTGAACAAAAATAAGTTATTTTGCTACTCTGGTCAGACCCAAGCCTGTCATTCTGGTTTTATAATTGCAGATTTCTATATTTTTAAACACCTCCCTCTCCTGGTTGCTGTAGTAAAGATGCAAACTAGGAATGAATGACAATGATGACAAATATGGTGGTGTCAATGTAAAAAATAAAACTCATTAGATTATTTCCTCTAATCTTTCTCAATTGTAGAAATACTAGGTGTTCAGTAACGTGGTAAATTTAAGATATCTTTTAGAAGTACAACTTTCATGTCACTTTTCTCTTTGAAGTTACTTGCTTTCTTGGATTTTTATTATAGACTTTCAAAACAGCTTCAAATGGTCTTAACACCATTGGTCTTAGAACAAAAACTTGAGAGAAGATACACAATAACCAAGCAACTTTTCTACAGACATCATATTCTTTCATCTGTATAGTTACAAAGTCCTCAGATACACTTCCAATGAAACTTGGGGAATCATCCCAATCCCCTCAGACACAGAGGCACAATTACAGACAGCTGCATGTCAGAACTTTAAGAGAGCTGTTTGTTTATACTTCTAAACTGTTATTCTCAACTTTAAAAGGTGTAAGCCTCACAAAATAGAAAGACAGAATTACCTGCACTGATACTGTTCCTTTTCAACATCAAGAGGCAAACATGCAGCAACACCACAGGCAAGTTCAGTGTACAAGCAAAACTCACCTTATGATACCTCCTATATTCGGATAAAATCTTGCCATTGCTACTCCAGCTCCTACAATTGCCACATTCAGGACAAGCACATGGAAAACACTACAGGAAAGTGAGGAAAGAGTTTTTTTTAAGAGTGTTAAAAATCTATGCTGTATTTATTACAAAATACCACCATTATCTTTGATTTATACTAACATTTAACTGGTATATGCATGGTGTTTCCATTTGCACGACTCACTCTATTAAAGCTAATTAATTTCACAGCAAACGTAACATCTACTGAATATTCAGAGTGCCAAACTCTAAATATCTAGTGTTTTGACTCAAAATATTCTTAAGGGGTAAGTATGTGTAATTTGGCAGTTCTTCTGAAAACCACCATACATGCTACTTGGCACTCAAGTATTTCAGATGGATATTCAAATACCAATGAAACAATGCTGTATAACTTAATTCCCACAAGAAAGAAGTAGCTTGTTCAGAGAATAATCTGAATTGCTCAAAGTGAACTAATGGAAACCAGAAGAAAGGAAAAGATGCATCGAATGGAAAACATTACATAGAATACTAAGGGGGGGGAGGGAACATCTTAAAACTTGAACTCTAATGCATTTTGATAGAGGACGAACATTTAGAATGTTGGACGTCATTTAATATTTGATCTCTGTACTATTTCTGTTGGAATTTTTTGTTAAATTTGTTTTAACAAATAATCTGTTGCTTTCCCTTTTGCATTAAGTATGAAAAAAATTGAGATTTTCTGTTTAGCAAAAGCAGCTTTTAATGTATAAGACAAACCCAGTGTAGTCATGTACAGAGCTAAGACTCAGGAAAGCATCACTTTTCTTTAGAGAATATGAAATGCTGGCATATTTTAACATAAGGTAAAGTCAGGAAATATAGTTAAAAAATGCAGTATTTTGGTCACACCGCTGTTTCTACGAAGAGAAAAAAGAATTCACAGAAAGGAAACATACATACACTTACAGGTTTTGTTTATTCTTTTGGATCATTTGATTTCTTAAAATAAACAAAATCTGTAAGCCAATGCTAATTTTTCCTTAACTGTAGAAAGCACCTCTATTATGGAGGATGTCACTAACTAACAAACTTTTTAAAAGTGACCACTTCCATAGCTGAAAGGCTGGCTACCCGTTTCCAAGAATAAAAAATAAAATCCCAAGAATCAGACCTATTAGGGAAATAAGGACCAAATGTTCACTGCTTCTCTAATATTGCTAAGGAAAGCCAATTAACTAAACGGTTCATAAAAAGTATTTGCCATTAAAAATTACTTCCTCTCCCCCCACACATACAGCGGATTGCAAAATCTTACTGTCAGATAGCACAATTAAAGACAAAAGTTTATGAACACAGAAAATGACAGCACTTCTTCCATTCTTTCTTTGCTGATATTAATTTTTTTTAGCAAGAAGGATTAAAAAGACTGCAGGCTTAATAATTCAAGAACGCTTTGCAAATTTGTGTCACTTCAGAATTTTTTAGCAGAAAACCTGAAAAAATTCTGAAGTATTTTATTCTGGCATGCTTTAAAACAGAAGAGATTTTTGTAGTGAAAGTTGTTGCTTTTCAAAAAATTAATTCTAGCTTCTTAAAACTTCAAATGCAAAGTAGTATGTGTGTGTATTTGGTGTGAAATGAAACATTTTTCAACTTCTTGATCTGGGAAAAAATAATTGGGTTGGGGGGGAATGTGTTTTGGCTCAATTGAAAACAATGGTCTCACAATGCTGGTGCCTGCAAAACAATTCAGTAATTGCAGAGTAGTGCTTTGCAGTTTTAATTGTTACAATTAAGCAGGATCCTCAAGAACAATACCAAAATCAAAAAGTCTGAAAAGGATTTAAATCCATCTGTTTAAGGGTAAGAAATTACACTGTATTTCTCCCTTGGAACATCTTTGCTCCTTTGTCTACCTTTTTGAAACATCCCACGTTGTAACCATGTTATTGGGTAACAGGCGTTTAACCTGCAAACCCTTTCTTTTACCTCGGCAGATATTCATAGTTCATCTCAGTTCCAGGACAGGAAACAAAGGTATTATCATTTAGAAAAAAACTATCCTTCTGAATAAAGAAGAATCTGATATGCAGGGCTAATAGTAGCTGTATTATCTGAGATAGTATTTTTTGTAAGACTGTAAGTTTCATGCAGATGTGCTCCAGAAGGAACAAGCATTTCTCATAGCCTGTGATATTTTAACAAGTTCTAAATTGCTCAGTTTTAGCCTGACACTGGCTTATGGCACAATTAATGGTCATCACACATTGCAAAAGGGAAGTCAGAAAAACAGTATTTTTGGGGGGCATAACCGTAACACCACTGCTTATTACGACTACCGGAAGAAAAGTACTTAGATTATGTTAGAGATCAGAAAGATGATTTGGCCCCTTTTTACCTAACCACCCTGCTGGCACACAGCTGTTTTCTAAGCAGCATAACTTTATTTCTCATGGTCAATGGCAGCACAGTTTGGTGGCCCATGCCAGGGCTGGACTGTCCACCTGGGCAGCCTGATTAGGGTTGCTGCTTTGAGGCACAGGTTGGATGGTAATTGACAAGAGGCACACCCACAGCAATCCAAGTGTGGCACATGGTGCTCCATCTTTCATATTCTGTCCTCCGTCTCAATATTCTTGGTTGGGCAGATGAAGACTCTAGTTCTTTTCTATAAAGGAAATCACTGCTCATCTGCAAAAATCCCAGAATCTCACGAAAACGATATTGGGGGGGGGGGCATGGGTGGGTGTGTGGAATCAAGCTTTCCCCTAAGTCCTGCTTTTTTTCCCCATTGTAAGGTTAACCTGTCAGATTGACAGAGTCGAGAAACAACCTGGTATGCCAGAAGATCATTAGAGGGCTTGCTCTATCAAATTTTCTCCTGCAGAAGTGGTAGTCACAGTTAAGCCACTGAATGACAGTGACCCCATACGTCTAATTAACTTCAGCATCCTCAAAGCAAAAATCATATCAAAAACTGTGAAACCAAACCCTAGGGCAGGGGACATTCAAAGAAAGAAACTGATTAAAAAAACACTCAGGTCAGACGCAAAGAAATTAGAAGTGCTGGACTCAGCATGGAGTCACAGGGTGAGCATACACAACAACGGAAACAGGAAAGCAAGGAAAAAAGCAAAACAGGATCATTTAAGTAAGAATTTTTGAAAGGTTACTGTATCTAAAAATGCATTTCCTTCCTGGAAATCTTAGTCAAATGACATCTGTCAAAAGACTATGAAACACAGCAGTTAACAAGCAAGACAGAAGCTAGGTGAAGAGCAGATAACTAAACATGCATGCAAAGAGCAGAAATGTATTTCGTTGCACCAGAAGACACACATCTGTGGGAGAACTGGCAGGTCTGCTGGGCTACCATGGAGTAAAGGGAGGACAACCCTTAAGGAAAATCAAGTGACTTCTGTCCATCAGCTTATTTAATCTCTCAGAACAGGGAAGATGTTAAAAAGTTTTAAAAACTGATCAGATGACTGTACAAAGAATTTTATGAGTGGCCTATAATTAATCAAGGGAATTCTCTGTCACAAATATCACTGTAGCCAAGAGCCAATAACAGTAATAAAAAAATTAGCTTTCTGTACATATAAGAAGATCCAGAGTCACGTAAGAAACAGCAGATAAACCACACGCTTCTGGCCCTAAGTCATCCGTTAAATGACACCATTGCAAATATATCTCACTTTAGAAAAGAAAGTAATTTCCCAATACATGACATTTTGGCCTTCCTTTACAACCCCAGGGAGAGAAGAAGGGAATGAACAGTTACTTGGGTTTCGTCCCAGTACATCACTTTCTACGTTGTAGTCTGTACGCTAGCATACATTTTGTAAAATTAAAGAAGGAATTAGGACACCTTCTCTTGTCAATGAGTCTTTTGTAGGAAGCACAGAAAGGCTAAAGGCTTTGTGATGATGTCTGTCAGAAGCGCCCAGCATGTCTACACACGTTATTTGTTTTTAACATGGGCAGAGAGACACAGGCAACTGATACTGGAACATAACAGAAAGGAGAATCCCCCTTCTTAGAAGCAGGGGGGCTTTTGCTCTCCTCCTGACTGCTGGAGGACATATGCCGGAGGACGTAGGATGCTACCGATTTCCTCTGTGCTTCAGAGAAGCAAGCTGCCACTGTTCAGCTGATCCCTGATGTGAAACCTGGGAGAAGAAAAAGTTATGTATAATCTGTTTAAGCTTTTAAGTTTGGAGGGGGTGAGATTCTTCATCAGGCAAGACTATATGTTAGTAGGATACTCTATGGATAAGCACAGCAAAGCACTGTTAGTAGAAAAATAGCACTGCAAAGTATCTAAAAAGCAGAGTGGGACAGAAGACATGGGGATCAGTCTTCAGACAATAAAAGCTCCCTTGAAAGTGAGTAAATGGTTCCTCATTATAATCCAGTTATAATCCATGGCCTAGCAGCAAAAGCCAGGATATGAAACAGGATGCTGCTTTCGGTAGAAATTGTCTTGGATTAGACCAACTGCCAAGACTAAGAACTATAAAATAGCAAACTAATACATTGGTGCTTCATCATATCCAGTGACAGACAAATAGTAAAGAAAAAGGAGTTAAAGTAAAGAATCAAATTGATCTGAGCAATACTGTCACTGCTAGGAAATAAAAATTATCTGGCAGCCCTGTAAGCATGTGTGTGATCAAGCTATTCAATCAACAGCTGGCTTTAAGATGCATCCATCCAGAATTCCAAGTGCTCCAGCTAATAACCTAATGGCTATCTGTTAACTCCATCCATACCAGCATCACGTATCCACAGCTGCAAACAACTGCCTATATGAAGAAGCCTGGCTTTTAATATCAGGGAGCTTCCAGTTTATGTGTAATCTGCAGCATATCCATATAGAGCAACCTAGGGCTTAAAAATCGAGATAGGAAAATTTACAGTGGGGACTTAGACCAAAGTAGGATGGTTTCGTTTTGTTTTTTATAAGAAATAGTTGGACAATTATAGCCAGAAGGTAAATTTACAAGATTTTCTCAGTTGCAAAGGAAATTTAATATAGGAAGGATGCACCTATGTAAATACATGTGATTTAGCACATTGAATCACAGGGTTAAATGAGGCTAGATTGCCAACAGAGATCCTCAAATGCACAATCAATATGAATTCAGCACACAATACCCAATGTGCTGTATAAACGGACAGATGGATGTACCATCAGTGCACACCCCTAAATCCCACTTGCACAACCTGAAAATAAAAATAGGAAAAGGTAGCAAACCCATGTAAATGCACAGAATCAGTCACAAAAATACAAGATTTTAAATGGTGGGTTTTGTTTTAGTTATTTCTGGTTTGTACTTTTTTTTTTTTTTTTTAATTCTAGAAGAACAGCACAGAACCCCACTTTCTGTTCTGCTCTTTTTCTCCTGCTTCATCCTTTTGGTTCATTACTTACATAGAAATTTTCTCCAGTTAAGTGACTGGGAATAGTCTCTCCATATATATACCTTATGCACACATCTAAGAGCTAAAGCTTGAGACTCTGCAAATCAGTTGTCTTACTGCCCAAGAACCATTAGCCCTTGACATTGAAGACTGCACTAAAATAAGACAAGAATGTACAGCTACTAGCAGAGTGCTCATTTTCCTACACAAAAGCCATGGAACTCATTATTTCCAGGTATGTTCTTCAGGGTGGAGCAACAGGCTCCCCACTGAGACATCAGTTTCTGTCAGTAAAAGCTACTTCTTTATATTTACAAAATGCTTCCCCACAAAAGCAGCTCTGGGAAAAACTCAGAATACCAAGATATGTCCTAGAAAGGTGATAGAGGCACAGTGCTACTTAAGGACCTTCATCAGCTTTAGCTCCTTGTGGGAACCATTCAACAAAAGACATATTTCACAACCAGGTAGTAAATATTTACTGTCCTCCTAGAGAAAAGGTCCTGTGCATGCTACCAGTCTTCAGTTAGACTTCACTGCGTAGAAAAACTAAGGGCTGACCTTGCTGGTTGTAAATACACAGAAGCCAGACCCTGGAAGTTAGCTGAGTGATTTTTGTGCTATATTTGAGATACCTGGAATACCAGAAAGGGAGACACAGCCAGCCAGCCAGCCAGAATGTACTACCGTATCACTATAGATTGGAGTGATTTAAGTGGCTTCCTAGAAACCATTTTTGACTTCTCAGAAACTTTAAATACCTCCCTATAAGGAGTCTTAAAAGAAAAGAAAAAAAAAAAGTGAGGCTACCCACAGGACATCCTGGAGACAAGAACCAAGCAAGGATTTGCATCATCACATTCGTCATACCATGAAGGCTTAAAACAGCAAGGTGGAATTAACCTGAGAGGAGACTGGTATGAAGCTGTAGGTTCTAGCAGAGGGCATGAGGGAAATGAAAACCATTCTGGCCAGGGAGTAATATAATATAAAGGACATGGCTATTTCCCAGTGGCTGTGAAATCCATGTTTAGCACTTAAATCAATGGCCTTGTTTCCAACAGTAACTTGCAGCAGTTCCTAAAAATGTCCTCAACATTGAACTGCGTACAATTTAGCACCAAAAAAAGTAGGTACTTATTTCACTGCCTAATTTTAGGCATCCAATTTCTAGATCTTCTCATACCTATTTTAGGATCCAGAAGAAACCTGAAACTTGGAACAACGTCTTCCCAGACCTGTATGCTACTGCTGATGCCACAGAGGAAATACACATTTCTTCCTGAGATATTTTTTTCCTTTCCTCCATCAACAGTAATTCACAATATAAAATAAGAAACTCGGAGATAAATGCCAACTTCTCTGCTGTGACAAATTCAGACAATACTCCAAATATAAACGTCCTAGGTTTTATTTAAAAAAAAATAGAATAAAAACTAAAATTGAAATCTGGATTAGCTCTTCTCTGGAGTTCAGATGGTGTACAAATGCAGGGGTGTGCCTCATCTCTGAAATTAGCATGTGAAAAGCTACTTTTATAAACATAGCAGCAGCCTAGATGACACAGCTAACAACTCACTTAGCTATCAGTTCTGTTTAAAAACAGATGGATGATTACTAATTAGTAATGCACAATCAAAACACATATGGCACCCTGAAAGGTTAACATCCAGAGTGTATGTCGTTCACAGCTTAGAGATTGCTTGATAGAAATGTTTCTGGATTGAATAAAATTTTTTTCCTGTATAACTTTTTCTTTGCCATATAAATGCAGGACACAAAGGAACCGTGTTGACAAAATTCCTCTGTTTATTGACAAAATGAAGAGCTAAAACAAAAGAAACCCCCATTCTATTCTGCCAAGCTGTAGCAGAATGTAGCTGACCTGCAGGCAAGTTTATTTTGCATGCCTATTCACCCTGACTCTACAAATATTGTGAAAATAGCTTTTGAAAGGTATCTAATGCAGCAAAAGAAATCCCCAAAAGCTCAGCTAAGTTTCTGACAACACAAAGCCAGTTAAGCAAAGTGGACCAAGCTCTTGTCAAGTAGACTTCTTACCTTGGGTAAGCATTTCCAAAAAATTGTCTTAACAGCTGAACTCGTGCCAGATAACCCAACAGTGGGTACACAGTCATCATCTGGAATAGCAGGAATATTCTTGCAACAAATGACATGATGTCATCACTGGGAAAGTTATCTAGAAAATTCTAAACATAAGAATAATGTTACATATATTAATGGTGGCTTGATTATATGTATCTGCTGATTTTTAATAGCTGCATGCAAGAAAGGGATAAAAGCCAAGCAACTACAATTGTTAAATGAACTCCATGAGATGAAATACCCTCTCCCTCTTTACAATTGCCTTGCCTTCAAACACCAACTGATTTTTGAATATTACAGGGCTGATGTCAGCTTTCAAGTCAGCATTGAAGATGGAATTATTTTCTAATCTTCTGAGCAACCTCAAATTATCAAGGTTGTGGAAGGATCATCTGTTTTTTAGGCAGACGGATTCATATGCTCCTATTACCTGTCATATCATATCTAGATACTAAAAACAGTTATTTAACCAGTAAAACTGGATCATATACAAATGAGGACGGGATCATATACTACACGTGGGAACATCTGAAAAAGCATTATAAGACTTAAGTATCATGGAAATATAAAATGTCTTTGTAGATACTTACGATAACTACAGAAAATAAATGGGAAGACAATCACTTGTCATCTACTGTTTTAACTGTGGATTTCACCCCATTAAGTTATTTCAAATGGTTCATAAAATCATTTCATGGTTAAACAGTGTTACCAGTTCTGACTAACCTATAGTCAGAGGAAACCTTTAAATGCTGCTTTATTGCTAAATATTATGCAAGATACATAAAACACCTAGCATAAAACAGATCATCAGTTGATAACTCCTATCTTTGACGTAATTTATGGTGTGGGAATCAGCCCTGCCCATAAGTAGATAAGAGTTTAATGGCCTTCACAGAGTGTTTTGTGTGGTGCTATTATCTGAAGAACTCTGCTGGCAAGGCAGAGTTAGACTCCAAACCTACCCAAAGCGAGGACTCCTATCTAAACAAGCTTGCATTCCCATTATACTTCTTTTTCTGGAGTACCTGAAGCCAGTCCCAATGAGTGGGATTGGTCACTGCACACACAACTAAACATAAACTTTTCAGGATTAAAGAAGCCAAAGAAATTAAAGCCTCAACTGTTCACTCGTTCATTTTGTGCCCATGAGTCGTTAGCCAATTGACCAGAGTCAAGGACAGCTGTGTCTGCCAGTGTGAGTCACACAACAAGAAGCAGTAGCAGTTCTTTTTTTACTACGTATTTCTTAAAAGATCAAGGACAAATATCTCAATAAAATATCTCACCTGTTCAATACATTCTTTGGATAGTGGTGGTGAAGGAAAAGATGCAAAAATTATCACTCCGACATACAGATATGTCAATCCCACCAGGAAGTATGCAATAGAGAGGTCTCTCACCTGAGAAAAAATAAAATCTTATTTTGCCCAGCACTGACACACCAAAACAAGCAAAATAAAAACCTCATGAGATGATTTCTATTGCATTTATTACTGTTACTGCTATATTTATTACCAGTTTATATTTATCACTATTACTTTTACATTTTTACTTTCTGTTACTTGAATGGGGACTCCAAATTTGGTCCTGGATTAGATCAGAAAGCTGCAAGAAGATACCTCAAAGTGGAGCTAGACAAGTATTATGTATCTATCTACATACAGAAAAGGCACCAAGAAACAGATATGACAACAGATGTAGCATGTTATGGCTGGGTGCACAAACATACACTAGTTATTAAAACAAACAAACAAGAAAACCCTTCTACTTTCTTACATTCACCTATTCCTACTAAGAGCCTTGGGTCACAGAAACAGCTGTTGAGGACAGAAAGCCCAGCGATGCCACATGTCAGATTTCTTGTCAGGACTGAAATCTTGCAATTGAACACACCAGCCTACCCAACTGCAGATACAACATAAAGGATGGTTTTTAAGAAGCTGCTTTAAACCCTAACAGGATGATCACTATACACTGGCTTCAAAACAGAAACTAATTCGTCAGGCTTCTGTATGAATGGTGTGATAACAGAATGCATAGCAAATACACCATTAAATAAAAAATACAAATAAAACAGAAAGGCATAGGTAGGCACACAGGTATATATGTCCCTTAGCTTTAGCATTGTACTTTATAATGACTCTTTCATTTAAAATTGCCTATCTGCTTTATTACTGAATTTCTATAAACACCCCAGGCAAACGCACCAAATAATAGTAGAAGATTTTTAGGAGAGAGTGCTGAAGTTAGGGTCATAAACCTTAATTTCAATGTTCACTTCTGACAATTTGGACTATATTTATGAAGTACCTGGTATATAAAAGATTGTCAACTACACAAACATCATAAAGTTTTCAGCAACATTGAGTACTGAAAAATCTACTCAAGTACTTTATGAAATTGCAGAATCCATATATACACCAGTGACCTCACAGCAATGTACTTAGTGGGTTATTCTTCTACATCAACTCTTTTTTTTTTTGAAATAAAGTGGGAGACCATTTATTTCTAGTTATTAACTAACTATATTCTATATAAGCTTATGCTACACTACAAAACACTCATTACCTTATAGCATAACATTTATTCAGCTGCTGCTAATAATCAGCTTCTTAAAGGATTACTAGTAATGCTTCAATACCTGACCCTATTTTCCTGTGATTGAGAAGCAAGTCTTACTAGCTCAGGCACAGCATCAAATTATTAGGACTATATGGCTTCCAGACCAGGATCATAATTAGGGCCTCCAGCCAGCTCACTGAGTGTGGGCAAACCTTGCTCACATCTGTGCATGGAAATGTTTCCCAAAATGTTTCTTCACACTATCTCCTTGACAAAAGAAGCATATCCTATACATTTCTGGGGGCTTCCGAGGGCAATGCAGTCCCTCAGTCCCTGAGGAAAGTATAAAATGCTAGATTATGAGTTTCAAGAAAAGTTCAGAAGGAAGCCAGTTTTTAGTGAGGGAAATGGAATCTCCCGCTCATTTTGCCAGTGCTTTTGCAGCAGAAGATTGATGTCTTTTTCTCATCAGCCTGTAAGAGGCCAACGACATTTCTCATCAGGCAACAACATGCTGTTAATGTGTACGCCAGGGTGGCCCTCATGCCCCTGGCAGCTGCACGCTTCCAGCTGCAACCTCTTCCTCCTGCTGACCAGCTACACACAGATGGAAGATGCTTCTTCAGTCTTCACTCTTCTTGCAGTGGTCACTGAGTAAGGACTATCAATCTCCATCAGAGGTTGAGCAATAGCATTTTCTGTAAGTTATTCCCAGGATTTTTTCTCAGTGACACGACAAGCTGTACAGGTTTTCATGTAACAGCTACATCTACAAAAGCACCAGTGCCCATCCTAAAAAGTGCTTTCAGGAATACCAAATCTGAGCATCCAGATTTCTTATAGGTATTTATGAGTCACTTCCATTAACTGCAGGAGCCAGAGACTAATCAGGGTAAGGTGGTTTTGCAGAAAGACATAGACTCTCATCTCTTGAAGAGAGGACTTGGACAATTTTTCAGAATGCACCCAAGACCGTCTTAAGGCTCATCATCTAACAAAACATGTTTCACTTGCTTTGAATTTGGAATTTTAAGTCTATTCTTCATGCATAAAGACAGCATAGTATCTCGCAGTTGTTGTTTGCACTCAGCCTACATGTAAGCTCCAGAACCAACTGTACAACTATTTTTGCAGTGACAAGTACTTGCAGTTGTGAGGGCAAGCAATCTGAAACGAAATTCTTACTGAGTCCTTTGGACTACACTTGATTAAGGGTAGATAGCTGGTGTGCTATTACCTCTGATTATGCTAACAGTTCATGTTCCTACAGTTCTTAAGGGTGTAGGCTTTAACCTGTACTGAAAGTATGTGCTGAGATAATTTTAATAATGTATTTTTGTAGCATGTAACACAACAGACCCTTTTCTTCAGGTGGTGTTATCACACAGAGAATACACAGATTTTGATTTCTATAGGTAACAAGAAAAGAAATAAACATAACTCAAAAACATGCATTTATTTTTCTCAAACATCCATCAACTCCCTTGCAAACATCTGCTTCTGGATATAAGACAGTTATCTTTGTACAAAAGTGTGTGTTTGTGTACATTAACAGGAACATCTGATTAATGTTCATTACTCTTCAGGAGACCCAAGTTCACTCTCTAAAGACCTTGACTACAAATACTGTTGAGACAGCATAATTCCAGATAGAACCAAAGGATACATGGAAAGAGATTAAAAGGACTAATTTTAAGTAACAGAGCAATCATCACATTTGTCTATTTTAAAATTTATATTAAGATGCTTGTATTCAGAATGGACATCACTGTGGTGGAAGCTGCCTAAGCATAAACAATATGGCAGTCCTCACACCTAGAGTATATAACCTAAGAATCAAATGTAGAAAAATTGTTTGACAGAATGAAGTATTTGGGGGATCAGAGCAGAAGCAAAGTATAAAAGATAATATGCAGGTCACAGTCCATAAGGATCACTGCTTGCCACCTGCCAAGCCCTTGTCAAGTACACCTGAAGTAACCGGCAGATTCTGAGGTGGAACTTGAAGAATGTATGTTAGCTGCAGTTGCTGCTGACCAGGAGCTTTTCTGGTCAGATGCACAGAACAAACTGTTAACAGTGCCTCTGGAAGAACAGCAAATTGTTGACTGAGGCTGACAACAGCAGCAGAACAAAAGCAGGAACCAGCCTCCTAACAAAAGGATGAGTCTGATAAATTAGGCGGAACTAACAAAGAAAAGACTGAAAGTAGAAGACATTATTTCACACTCATAGACTAGTACCCAGGTGCAGGCTGGACCTATGGCACAGGACTGGATGCAGCACAGCAAAGGCTCTGTGGCTCTACGGATATTTCCTATATGATGCTGAAAAGAACAGGCAACTTTCAGGTCTTGTTTTCCATGTTGCATGCCATGGAGAATATAGCTAATTTTTTCCTCAGTACCACAGTGAAAACTAGTTTGTAGAGTTGCTTATTGGGTGCAGAAGCCTTATCAGTGTTTAGTAATTATCACCACATTAGAAGAAGTACCTTTGATCATCTCATTTCAGATTGGTCACTTCTCGAAAGAGAGATGGTGCCTCTGTAATATCTCAACAGGACTCTGATTCATATCATAAAAAGTGTTACCTGTCCAAGCACCAAGGACAAGTGATAACATTTTATAGGGTGAAAAAAAGTACTTTACCAAGACGCACAATGCTATGCATAATTTTGGCTGAAAAGAGAAAGCAATAGTAGGGAAGCATTAATGGAAGTTCACCCTGTTTACACGGAATAAACAGTTTTTCAATAATGCAGAAAATACGAACCATCCACAGCTTCACGCCTTCTGCAGCTACCACTTGGACAAAAACCATCTCCCCGTTCCCAGCCTTTCCCCCAAGTAGGTACACAAACAATTGTTAGGAGACAGCACTAGCATATTCATCTCTGTAGATCATGCTCTGGGCTTGTGCAGCATCTGCACAGTTGTTCAGGGAACCAGGTCACAGATGTGAATCAGAAAAACAAAACAAACAAAAAACCCCCAACCAATCACCTTTTTGTGGCTGCGTTAGTTTTCTACACAGTTTCTAGAACAGTTGCTTGTGCAGTGCACTAAAACTTACACTGACAAATACAAGGGGGCAGCAGCGAGACGGGAACAGGGGCCTCAACTTTGAACTGCAGACTAAGAACGCTACTCACAGGGCTTCTCCAGGCTGTGCTGCTGACATTTGGCTTACTCACTGCACTGCTTTTCTCACACCCACACCACTGTACTGGAATAGCAGCCAGAGGAATCCTCTCACCACGTGTGTTTTAGCTCTGGGTAGTGATATACACCTGCGACCAGAATGGAAGCTGCTATTGCTTTGGATTTCTGACTCCATAAAAGGAATGTTACTGTTTCTCTTACTTTTTCCCACCTCCCCGAAGAGCTGTTCTGATGACCACTAGCTTCAGCAAACTAAAACAGTACTTTTCCAGCTTGCGAAGTTCTGTGCCTTTTCACAGAATTCTGATGGAAGTGAGATGTTAAAAAGTCAATCCATGAAACAGTGGAGTCTCCATTTGACTCTCCATGAGAAACGGATAAAAGAAAGCACTTTGTTGATATAAATACATAGGAAAAAATACCCTCAACACCATGACTTTTGACAGAGCTTGAGACCCCTATACATATGTAAACCTCCCACTTAGTCCAGCAGCTTAGTGAAATAATTACACAACAGTTAGCTCTTCAAAAGCATCAGTGCTTCATTTAACATTTGCAAAGCAATTTGAGACCTAGGTGAAAGGCTCCTGTACAGCTACAAACAGGGAAGGAAATCTCTAGCCAAATAAAACTACAAGAACCACCCTCAGATTTGGTTTCCCATTACAAACCTTTCCTGCCATAAAGGTGTTCTTTCTGTGCAATTTAAACCCGGCTCCTGATATGCAAGAGTCTTGTCAAGGGCTTGGGATATATGCTAGGGCTGACTTGGAAATTCAACTTAAGCTCCAGGGAGGGCATTCAGAAAAGCTGATTCAAGTGCAGGCAGCAGTTTCTTCCCTCTTAACACAGGAAAAGCAAGCTGGAGAAGATTCCAGGTGCTGCTCTTTGCAGCTGATTGCTTGCTCTGATGTAAATGGAGGGGAAAAGCCACAAGAAAAGTCTTGAAGGTGGCAAGGAGGCATTAGGCATCCTCTGCATACACAGTTGACTGCTGGAGTGACCATGCCTTTAGAATTTGAAAGCCACAGCTAAAGAGAAAGAGAAATCTTGCCCTTTTCCACACTGTAAGATTTTCTTCAGAAAACCGAGAAGAAACTTAAGTTTTCTCTCTCCACAGCTCTGCCAGCCCCATCTTTAGTTGTTAAACTATTTTCAGAAATGCCCATAAACCCCAAGAAACTTTCCTGGAGGAGAGTTCATGACTCCTTTGCAGAGGCAGTCACTCGCAAGCTGGCTTTGGCTCACAGGGACAAAAAAGTATGCAGATTACTAAAGCAAAAGGTCATTTCACTGCATTGGCACATAATCTGCACTTCATGTCTGAATAATCAAATCACATATATTTTATCTGATGTGTTATGTAGGCAACCATCTCTAGGTGGCCTTTCTTGAGCAGGGAAGTTGGACAAGGTGACATCCAGAGCTCCCTTCCAACCTCAACCACTGCGGGATTCTGTGATTCTGTACCAGCTTTTCATACAGCTAATATTTAAAAATCTTGGTATGTCATTGTAGTTACTGTTACAGCCAAGATTTTAATGAAGCTGGACAAGAATCCTGGAAAGTAGGAAGGAAAAAATTAAATAATCAAAATAATTACAGTAAAAATGTACTCTAGGACTTCAACTCTTTACCATGTTTATTCCATTTTGTATTTTATAATGGGAAGATATTAAGAATTAATTCAGTTCTATTTGGATGAGAAGTATTTAACTTTTTCAAGAGCAAAGGACCAGTTCAAAGGCTACATATCACAAAGGTTCCCAATCCAGGCTTCAACTCTGAGGACTTCCTAAATAGGGTCAGGTTTCCCTATGAACCTTGATTTGGATTGTCGCAAAAAGCTCCTGAAGCTACTCTGAGAAAAGGTATTATATAGACCTCAATATTATTGTTCATGACTCTGCTAAGATCAGTCCCATGCCAAATATTCTCCAGGATTTTTCACTCTAAAATTGGTCAGTTTTTCTAGAGTCTTACAACACTGTCAAGCCTTCTGCCTCTTGTGTGTAATTTGGCCATTTAATACCAGACTAACCACAAATAAGTCTGGGACATTCCTCAAGGCTTTCATTTGAATACATTTGTAATGCATCTGTTACTTGTTGGTAGCCAGTGAAAAGTATGTATAACTGATTTCTTACCAGATCGCAAAAGTGAGTTACATTTTCTGAAGCTATTACAGTCCTTGGATCAATTTCAAGAGAAGCAGACAGGAAAAAATTAGTGTCACTTGGCAATCTAGATTCAAATCAGCACACTTTTGTGAAATTACTTACATTGTTTTCTTGATTCCTGTTATTTTGAAGAAGCGTGATGACACAATTGTGGATGAAGAAGGCAAGTGTCAGAACCCCTGTGAGCTGAGGGAACAGAATTCTAAACTCTAAGGGAGGGAAAAAAGTGTTAGTTACTTACTTCTTTGAAACAAAAAATGCCAAAATGCAGACGAGATACACTGCTGTGTAGTCTACTGGCAGAAACATGAACTTGCATGTTGAAATGGGACAATCCATCTTATCTTTGACCATAGCCAATGCAGATATTTAATCAGGAAGTACAAAATGCATAAAGACAGTGGTTACTATGTAACACGCTCTACAGCAAAGTTTCTTGAGAGACCCCAATCATCAAAGATTATTAGCTTAATCTAGGATTTACACAAAGAAGTTTTTCTGCTTCTAAACAGTTTAACTGGAAAGCATTTTTTGAGGCAGAAATTGATTGCAGTGAGGCTGTATATCTATTCGTCCCTACACAGGGAGATGGGGGCGGAAAGAATCATTTGCTCTGTATCTTTTGTTCTTAAGAAGCTACTTACGCTACCAGAGGAAAAATGACATCTGTGGACGTTTAAGAGGTTCTGCTTACAAAACAGGGCATAAAGAAAGTCAGAGCAACTTTTTGTCTTATCCTATACCTTGCAGCATCTATGAATAAAATTTTTTTTTGTCTCCACAGGAATAGCATTGCTCTGCTTCTTTTAATACTTGAAGGATTATGTTCACAAGACTGTGATTCCAGAAGCGCTGCAACTGGTCTAAGAATTCACCACTGTGTAACATCATTAAAGCACCATCTTTGTCAGTATTACGTAAGGATATATGTACTTTTTAGAGTGTTAACAGCAATTAGAGATCCATGAGCTGGCTCAGCTTCTGGAAAGCATCCAGCAATACAGCAAAACACTCATCAGAAGCTCACAAACCCTTACAGATGAAACCACAGAGAGCTCTATGCAAACACAGATTTCTCTTAAAGCACTATGAAGTCAGCAAGGTGAACACACCCTGGGGCAATTCATGAAGGGCTCATCCAGGCTGAGAGAACATGCCTTCCCTAGGACTGGATTCACTGTATCTTCAATACCTAACTAGCATGATGCGCTACTGACAGAATTGACAGTGCAAGTGACTTTTGGGCTTGTTTCCATCCACTACTTTAATCTCAATAATACAAATCAAACCAACAGATTCAGAATCTCTTTCAGCACTACATTTCCCCCATCACTACAACAATCAGCAGTAGCTGGATTCATACACATTAGCTTCATGCTTTGTCTGTCTCCCAGCAGTACTAGTGGCATGGTCAAAATAACGCTCTGCTTCTTAGTGGCCCACAGCACATGTGTCGTGCCATAACTCATTTTACACTAGGATTGCTTAACAGATCTTGGACTTGAAATTCAAGATGCTTAAAACCTGATTTCTTAGACATAGGCCGGTTTCCAGTTTACACGAGTTTGTTAGTGAACCTTAGTTTGCACATATTTTCTCCTGCACTCACAGGAAGAGTCCATAGATATGAGCTCATGTGAGTATTTGATGACTGTCTGCTGGGGAAGTTCAGGTTAAAACCATGTTTCCATGCTCACAACAGAGCAAGGCCAAACATTGTGGTCTATCTACTGACTGAGCAGCACATACTTCAATATAATTTCTGCTAACAGATAGCATTAAGAATAATGCCATACAAAATAAATCAGTTCATTAAGATAGATGCTAATCATCCAGTGTTTTGAAATCCTAATTTCTACATTGGAGACAAAAGCAATTTGTTAGTCCAAAATTCCGCCTGAAATTAAATGCAGTGATGGAGGAAAATAGATAGCATAGATAGCACCATTTCAGAACTATCTACATCTGTCTTTAAGTTCGTACTTAGGCTGCAGCAGTCAGGGCGATTCTTGGGGAATTACGGAGCTAACCCAGTTCATCCTCAAAGCACCTGCCTTGGTCCTGCACACAGCCATACTCAGCAGAAATTGCCTGGCTTTGAAGACTTAGCCAGAATGGACAATATTTTTTTTTTCTTGGTGACATGACTGTTACATAGCCTTTCTTGTCTCTTGGCATTCAGATCATGAAACAGGGTTCTGAATGTCTGGCTGAGATGAAGAAGGAAGGACCTTCAGCAGTTGCAGAAAAATGAACAGATTTGATGATAGCTAGGGGCTGTGGGACGGAGAAAGGGAATACTAGGTTTTGAGCAGACCTCTTTGCCATATGTACATGGAATACACTAGCCAAGCTGTTTATTCTGCTTATTATTGTGCCAGATCAAATTCAGTTGAACTAGAGTGCTGAATCAACCCAAAGGGAGTGGTAGAAGTAGCTGCAACACCACTGCAACTGTGATGTGAACACACTTAAGCCAGTTGAATTTTGTATCAGTAACTTTACTTAACTACTATCTGTAATTTACTCACTGAGTTGTTACTTCTGTTGCCACAGTGTATTACCATGATTCCAAAAATTAGATCAGATTCTATTAGAGACATGGAGTAACTCTAGTGTTTCTTTTTTGATCTCTATCTTGCTAAAGTAATTCAAAACCCATTTTAATGTTTTAAGTTATTCTTGTTTTCTTCTCCAATCCTACATTATTGGACCTAACAATAATTTGCAACCCATTTGCAAAACTATTAGTACAGTGCTTATTGTGACTGGAAAACTCAAAATGCACAAACCCACAAAAGAAAGCCTACGAAGGTGCATCTGTCTGAATTTTGCCTTAAGTAAATACCTAACTTTTAAAGAAGGGCAAAATACTCTTGTTTCTAAGATCAGAAGGAGTGATACAATTCAATAGTAAAGGACATAGCTCCTTGGAGATAACTGGACATACAATTTTGTCTGTTGTAAAGTATGGGGAAAAATAGCTAAGACCTAACCCCAGATCTCTCATTCCAGGCCTTCTAAAACAAGAAGCTGATCTCTTTAAACTATCCGTTCATTCAATACCACTGTAACAGTAATTTGGAAAGAACAAACAGCAACTAAAACAACGTTCAATAAAAGAAAAGAAACATACTGGAGAACTAACAGGTGTTTCAAAGAGAAGAGCTAAGATTATGGACTAGCACCTGAGATAGATTGGGAAGTACAGGAAAATCATACTCATAAATCATGGTGAATGAGCTATTTCATTTAAACAAGACAGTGTGTGAGAACTTACAGCACCTTTACCAGTCAGTCTGTCTACAGTTTGTACTGCTACTGAAATAGGCACGATCTGAAATCGGTGCAGCTAGAACTTACTATAATACAGGCAAAACAGGACTATGGCAAGCTCCCTGTCACATGACATACGTTGGAGGCACCTCTGATGGGCACTCCTCCACTTCTCCAGTGTCAATACTGTCTGCTAATTAAGGAACATCACTGAGAAAGGGACTCCATGTCACTTTGTCACAAGAGATCCCTCCTGAGCCTCTACATGCAACATCAGACAGCAATTCCTCACTTTATTTATGTCACAGAGGTGTTAAAAGGTGAATAAGAAAGTAATTCACTAATTGCTTTAAAAAAAAAAATCTTAAACCCATCATATATATGCTTCATTACTGCAATTTAACTGTCTTACCTGGTACAAAAAATTCATTCTCGGTAAACCAGTTGTATTCTAAGTGGATTCCCAGACAAGCAGCCTTTACAGTAACCAGAAAAACTAAGTAGACAACTGAAACCGTACCTGGAAAAGACAAGAGCCAAACAAACACCATGAGGCAGCAGAAAGTATTTGTGCTGTGTTTCATTCCTGCTCCATCCAACCAGTTACCAGCAGCCAAAACACTTCAGGTTGGTATTCATTCTTAAAAATATCGGCTAGTTTTCTTCTTTATTTCTTTTATAGGTCAGGGAGAAAGAATAATGCACTTGCACCCAATGCAAGCTTTCAGCATCTTTAATGTTCTCCAGATGATGCACTAGCCACAGCGGAAGAAGTACCCTGTAATCCCTGCTCTAGGCAGCAACATATCAGTTTCAGCTTCAGCTGTCAGGTTTTTACTCTAACATGAGACAAAGTTGGCCACAGTACTACAGCTACTACAACATCCATTCAGTCATTGACTTTTTGAACCAAATGGCCCAATGATACAGGAACATTTACTGTAGTTGTGAACTTTACATTGGGAACTAGAAGCCAATAATGATTGCTACTGATTTAAACCTTATCTTGATCATAACCTTTGATAACCTTGATCATAACACTCGATTTGCATTCCCTTTCATTGGTTCAGAGGCATTCAGCAATACTCTGCACAGCTAGAGGACTATATATAAGATCACAGATGGGTATAAATGCCTTGCTGTGTCTGCATGTGGGATGGACAGCATATGATCTTGATTCCTGCCATTTGCAAGAGATAAAGGCAGAATAGTAACTACCTAAAAATTGAAGGAAACTGTGCAGGAGTAATTAAGGTTACTGTGATGCAACCTCACAGCCAATAATACTGCTAGTCACCAGAGAACAGGCTGCAAGTAAGTAAAGACAAAAACCCAGCATTTTTACAGTTTGGAATAAAGATAAGATGTAATTCCATTCTAACAGTATCTCCAAGGTTAAAAAATAAACTGAAGAAATTATCTTTTGATTACACAGAGCATAATCAAGGAATTAGGAAGATAAAAGGTTCTGTACTTGAGGATCAGCTTAACAGCTAAAATATTCTGTAGTTTCCTAATGATTTAGGTTTCTGTAGGTGTAAAGATAAGTAAAAATTCTCTATTAAGATGCACTTCAGCATCTCAAAAGTTGCGTTCCATTTTTTCTTGTCCTATAAACTTCAAGGTTTTAAAAGATTAAGGCAACTTTGAACAATTTCTGAATTACATAGTTATGAGAAATTTAATATTTTAATATTCAGATTATCAAATAAAAAAGTTGCCCATGATAATGTGCTTATTTTAAAAATAGATACAGTTATGGCTAGATCTCACTTGATAAAAATATTTTCTTAACCCTAACATTATACCTAGTCTACATAAAACTCTTACTTTTTACACGATCACTTATCCAAGTTCCAGTGCTATATTTTCATTTAGTGGTCCGAGCACAAGCAGATCCAAGGCTAATTAAGTGTCATACTGGAACAGAGGACAAACTAGATCCTCAATTCCCTGTCCTCTACCTCCTTTACAATACATCTCCACTTTTTTCAACACATTCTGTGACCCCAACTCCTCTTCCCTTTCTCTTCATTATAAGCTTCAATGCTACACCCTCAGACCTCTCCTGCTCCATAAACTGTGACCAACCTAACCCATCACCCCTGTGCTTTATCCCATTTACCAAGCCCACCTGCCTTGGTCTTCTATCTCAAGACATGGAAGCAAGAGGAAGTCACAACTTTTGTTCCTGTAGCACCGAATAGGTCAGGGTATTGGGAGCTGGGGCAAAGCACAGCAGCAGGTTACACTGACTGACTGATGTTGTGACTAATTAATCTACTGACTGGTAGCAAACAACTTCAGTTCAGAGGCAATTAATCTTTGGAAGCAACTGTCTGTGTTGAAATGTTTACTAGATGAGGAAGGGCATACCTGACTGTTTGTGCCAAGGTGGTATACATCAAATGCTGTAGAGTACCGTGTGTACCACTGTTTGGGAAAATCTGCTGCAAATATAGCAGAACTTGTTTTACAGAATTATCAAGGGAGCAAATGAAAAAAAAATTAACTCCCTATTAACAATCACACTCAAGCAAAGCAGGGTAGAAAGCCTGTAAGTGATGAACAAACCAAGCAACGAACCACTCTGAGGCGCCATATGAGCTGCCTGCAAACTACTGGAAGAGTGGCTGGAAAGCTGATTGGCAGAAAAGGACTTCGGGGTGTTGGTCAACAGCTGGCTGAACATGAGCCAGCAGTGTGCCCAGGTGGCCAAGAACGCCAACAGCACCCTGGCTTGTATCAAAAATAGCGTGGCCAGCAGGACCAGGGCAGTGATTGTCCCACCACTCCGCACTGGTGAGGCCACACCTCAAGCACTGTGTTCAGTTTTGGGCCCCTCACTACAAGAAAGACCTTGGCATGCTGAAGTGTGTCCAGAGAAGGGCAACAAAGCTGGTGAAGGGTCTGGAGGGTAAGTCTTATGGGGAGCGACCAAGGGAACTAGGGTTGTTTAGCCTGGAGAAAAGGAGGCTCAGGGGAGACCCTATCACTCTCTACAACCGCCTGAAAGGAGGTTGTAGCAAGGTGGGGATCAGTCTCTTTTCCCAGGTAACCAGTGATAAGGACAAGAGGAAATGGCCTCAAGTTGTGCCAGCAGAGGTTTAGGTTGTGTATTAGGAAGAATTTCTTCATTGAAACAGTTGTCAAGCATTGAAACAGCCTGCCCAGGGAAGTGGTGGAGTCACCATCCCTGGAGATGTTTAAAAGACATGTAGACGTGGTGCTTAGAAACATGGTTTAGTGGTGGACTTGGTAGTGTTGTGTTTACGGTTGGACTTGATGATGTTAATGGCCTTTTCCAAGCTACATGATTCTATGATTCTATTCTATGATTCTACTCATTGGAGTAGATTTCATTGTTTTCTATACATTTTAGCCACAATGAACCAATGCTTTAATATTACCTGTTACCTACCTAGGACATTAAACTTAGCAAAGAAGGATGGAGACTTCAGATTTAGGAGGGGCAGAAGAACAGCAATCAGGTACAATGGTACTGTTCGTGATTTGTTCCACCACTCCTCGAAGAGTTCAAAATCTGTACTGTTGCCAGAAGAGAACATCACACTCCTGTTCTGTGGTGGGTGACCGCTAGCAGCACTTGGACAAATGACTGGAAGAAAGGAAAAGAAAAATATCCCCAGATGAAAAGGGTTTTACTTGCACAGAATCTTCATAGCCACGATCTCCTAATTTCTGGAGAGTGTTTTACCTATGAGGAATAGGACCACTCAAAACCAATGTTTGACAACTCAGTTCCTAAGTTCCAGTTTTTCATGAGGAGTTCAGCACTGAGATTTCACTGCTAGGCACCTTGCACTCTACGCTGACAAGTGCTACTGTTCTTTCAGCTGAGCACAACAAAAATACTAGTTTGTTTGAAGCCTGAGCTGTGGCATATGATCAGCCTTCAAGGTCACATATCTATAACTAAGTGTGTTCAGTGTCTACATCCACCTGCTGGAATCAACTCATAGTAATGCACCTCTGCATCTGACTGCCTATTTAGCATTGTTATCTGTCCCTGCACGCTTCAGTACGACCATACGAACCAAGATACGAGCGTATCTGTGTACAGAAGAACCTGTATTACTCTAGGTTGCTCTGGGAACACACAAATTAAGGATGACAAGAAAGCTGCTACAACAACTGGCAGGTCTAGAACTCATGCACTGAACAAAAACATCCTGTCATCTTAGTGCCGTGTCAGGTGTAAGTACATCACTGCTAGACAACACAACAGAAGCAATTTAAGATACACACCCAATAACACTGCCAAAAGGGAATGTCGCACTCCTGTTTCATGGTGGCTGATCAATGGCAGCACCAGAACAAGTGACTGGAACAAAACCAACCAACCAAAAAGATCCCTTGATAAAAACATGTTTATTTGATTTTTGCTAATACCAGCATTTCTTTTTAACACTTGACTACAATTGGGATGTTTTGAAGTGTGAACCTATCTTATTGTTCTCATAATGTCTTATTTTAAATTTTGGTATCACTCAATACTTGATAGCCTCACTCCCAGATTGGCTACATGTCTGTTCTGCTACAAACGCAAAGGTTCAAAAAGTGTTCTGTCAAATTCCTCGAGAGACAATTATATTACTTTACTTCCATTTTTCTCATTTGTTCTCTCTCCATTGCTTATAACAGTATTGTTTCACAGACCTTGAAAAATGCTTTTGTTCTTACTGATCTCCTTGGTAGCCCTGAATGCCTGGCCAAGAGTCATTTGAGCATCTGGCAGCCCTTAATTTTGTGAAGCAGCTGCTTTAAATCTTTCAGTTGCTGGAGGATGCTGTGGAGTATTGTTGTCTACTTTGTCTCAAAGCTATACCCCCTGCTCTGTAAGAATGGGACAGGACAGCAGAAGCAGGAGAGAGCACAAGAGAAAGAGCACGGCAGCAGCTATTGGTGCCTTGCGGCAAGGACCGCAGTAGAAACAGGATTCAACACTAGCTCAAATGTAAATCAATTGTTTTTCAGAATTATTTTTTAACTCCTTTGCCTCACTCCAACAGCTGCTCTCCAGAAACACAGCTGCGGCTAGTGTGACACACGGCTGTCCGGCTGGTACAAAAATGTTTCCTCATTCCCATAAGAACTCAGGATAGAGAAAATTTTCTACTCCAGAACAAAGCACTGCATGTTCGGTTACTATATATAGGCAGGAAGATGAGAGGCTGACAGTGCCTAGCTCTTGCCTTCATTCTAAGTTATTCTGCCGAATTAAGAACTCTCAAAAGACCTATCTTCATACTGGACTGCAGTTTCTTCCCTTAGTTGTGCAAATGTCAGACTCTCCTCAAAACAGTCACTTATGTAGCCTAAACACTTGTTTCTTTCTGCGCTCAGCATCATTAAAGTTGTTCTTAGAGCATTTTTTAAAATAAGAATGCTGCTGCAGAGGTGGTGAGGAGCAAATATGCCCCAGCCAAGATTTTAAACAGTAAACAGATCTGAATTTTAGGGTGCAAAAGTTAAAATTCCTTAAGGGAATTCCTCATTGTGCAACTGCTGTTGAGAGGTCTAACTTTCATGGGTTTAAGGAGTATGTGTCTGAGTATACACAAACTTGTAATTTGCTTTTTAATCCTTATTCCTAGTCTCACTTTATTTTTTTTTTTTCCCCCCAATCATTACCCTTTCCAAGTGTGTGGTTATTTGTGGAAGTGCAAATCCCATATACCAAATTAGTTTTTTTAAAAACAGGAGGCTAGAACCTACGATATACACTTTATAACTCAAATGTGGTTAGGAATGGAAACATGATGATTTGCCATTAAAACCCCACCCCTACCCCAAACCAGGAAACACAATACTAACAGGTGCTTCTTACCTTTGTTACTTCCATTAGTGCCGGGAACAATATCTGTTACATTAATGTCATGAACAAAGTCTGAAAAGAAGAAAATCTTACTATCAATGTCCCAAACCTGCTATTTGGCTTTTATTTGTTGACTTGATAAAAATTAAGTAAGGAAGTATTTTGGAAAATTACATCAGAGGCTCGATATGGCAGCTTGCACTCCTCCCAACCCCAAGTGGAAATTTTAAAACTTTCTTTTAGAAGTGTTTTAAAGTAGCCTCCCACTGCACCACTTTCTTCTCAGCAGCCCCATCCGTTTATGAAGTTCCCAAGCCTCCCCTCCCAGCTGCTCATTCCTGTTCCCCCAGCACACCTCCACCTGTCCTAACTCCTCAGGTCTGCAGTGTTGTACAGTAGGTTAGTAAGGAGATGCATCTTAAAACCAGCCTCTTCTGGGACAGAAAAGAAGTGCATGCAACAGTACCCTTAGTCCAAATGGTATTATATGGAAAAAGCTTCCCCTACTCATTTTTCTTATGTTTTTTTCAGAAGAGGCTCTGTGGAATGCTTTTTCCATGTTGTATTTTAAAGAAGGGAATCTCCGGAAAAAGGTTTAAGTCTCACTGTCTACAGTTATCTCTAGTAGTATTTTGTTTCCAGTACAATCCTGTGCCATTTTACTGCTCTGCCACACCAGACATTTCAGAGTTTCTCCAACTTCACCAGTACGAGTATTGGATAGCAACTTCCTTGTATTTATGTACATATACAGATAGAAAATACCCATCAGCTTGGAAATTTAATTAGTGTGTGTCTGGGTAAAATTTGCTTCTGCTGCATGTGGGTGTATTATGCACACATAATATCAACTGGGGCAGTAGGCCTCATGCTTTTTAAATACAATTAAGAGCAGCTTGTTTCTCATAAAGAAAGCAAAAAGTCCTGTGGGAAGAAAACTGGTTTTTGTTTCTTCATTTTGATTTATGACACCCTGAATCACAACTGAGTTTCTCATACTTACTGATATCAGTTCAGTGTATAAAACAATCAGAAGTTTTAACTAAAATCACTTATCACCTCCTCACTTCATCACTGTTTTGTGTTGCTACTTAAAAAAAGGTACCTAATGTGAAGCCATCAAAAGAATTGATAGCTCTGACAGAATTAGAGCACTTTAAAATTAGTGATAGATGGATAGCCAACTCATGTTTCCTCTGTGCTTAATAAGTATTTTAGGACTAGTAATTGCATTTGTGGATTTATTTGTGTTTCATAAAACAGAACAAAAGCATGGTACACTGTGTTAAAAAAAAAGACAGTTAAGACAAGAATCCAATGATTAAAGTTATCACAGAGCAAACAACTTAAATAAGAACTCTGAACAAATACAGGTAAGTGGCAAAATAACATGCCAATCTCAGGGAAGAGGACTTTTTTCCCTAGAAAAGGAACTGTTTTGATCATTCTGAAGTTTGCTTATTAGAATAGGACTTATTTAGTTTAGAATAATTTATGATTAAAGTGCTAACCTTATTAAAGAAAAACAAAGTCTGAAATGAAATGGCCTTAACAACGCATGAATTAGGTCAGCTGTAAAATAACACCAGTCGTTAACCAATAAAGTATGTCCTTCAGGGATGGTGGGAACTCTAATTAAACATTGTTTAAAAGGTATAAGTGTCTGTGCTGTTATTTGCCTCAGAGATTTGTTAATTACCTTCAAAACAGAAACTCTTAAATCTTAGTCGTGCTATTCAACGCTATGAGTCAGATTTTCAAAGCTCACACTTCCATCATTTATTTCCACAACTCTACATACATAATTGATCGTATCCACAAAAGTGTGGGCGTCTGTGCATGTACAAGAGTGTAAATAACCAATATGTTTCCTTTTGTAGTAATGCCAGAATAAGAATCAATCTGTCACTGTGCTACATTTCATTGTTCCTTCACGGATGCTTGCAAAAACTTTCTATATGGCAGCACTCTAAGTGTGTTTGTTGAAATCTGGAATGAAACTAGATTTTTTTTTTTTTTTTTTCCATTAATCTGGATCATTTCAACAGTCTAGTCTGTTATATGGCTATTCAAATAGTTACACCCATGCAAACAAGGGGGAGTGAAAATACAAAGTGGAAACAAGCACCCAGGTTTGGGTTGTTTAAACTACACCAAGAAGCCTCATTACTGACATGCAAATCAGATAACTGGTACTTTGTCTTTCATTAAAACCACAATTTAAGAGAGAGATTGAGAAACTGGCTTTGAAAACATGTATGACTGTGCCCATAACTCCATACATAGTTACTTGTTCTCACTTGACTTTTCACACAAAGTTGCAGAAAAATCAAGATTAAGTAAAACAGACAATCCTTTTTCAGTATAAAACGAAGTCTTTATCTTTCTACAAAAGAGCTGTAAAAGTTAACCAAAAATGTATACTTACTGTATATAAACTTTCCCGTGTTGAACAGAAAGTTGGACATAAGCACCCAATAAACAACCATGGCTCCAACAAGCGATATCATAGAAAATAAGAGGCTTGACCATTGACCAAAGGATCCAAAGTAATACTTGCAAACATCTGGGAATTCCCAGTTTGAGGTGTCTACTAAAGCTGAAGAAGATACAAAAAATAGAAACATATCTAAACAAAATGTTAATGAGTTGTCCCAAACTGGAGGTCTTAACTGCCTTTATTTGAGCAAGTGAGGGGTCAGTTTATGCACAAAAGCACCAACTACAAGAGCGACAAGATGAGTTTTAAACAATAAAAGTACATTCTAAGTAGAACCACTGTGAGGCAATTGTCCATAAATTCCCTCCAACACAGAATATATACAGATATTAGGGTAGTACAGGCATACAACACAAGTAGATAGAGCTACAGCCCATGCTGTTCCACTGCAGAACATGATCAGAAATACATGTAGACAAGTGGACAGTGCTTATGGAGAAGAAGGGAAGCCTCTAACTCCATATGTCCCAAAACGCTTAGTAAGTGAATATCTGAAACCTTGCTTGCCAAGAGTTTGGGTTTTGCTATAACACTTAGGTCTCAAGGTACAGAAGGATAATCTAATAAGTAAAGAGAGACATTTGGCTTACAGAGCTTAGACCCAGACTACAAGCAGGGAGACATTCAAAGGAACAGCTTTAATTTGCAGGTCAGGTCTAAAATATAGTGAAGATACATACAAACTAAGAATCTATTAGATCTCTGTATTTCACACTTAATGGAAATATTTGCATTATGAAGCTTTGTATTTCTTACGTATCATTTTCCGTGATTTCACAACTCTGTAGCAGCAATAAAGAGTCAAAATGCCCATAAGTAAGATGAGAATGATTCCAGAAGTAAAGCCTGCCTGTTAAGATGAAGAAATACAGTTGACTTTATCAGTAACACTACAGAAAAATTAAGAGCAGCCATGTTGCCAAAAACATTTTCATATGTACACATTTTTCATAGTTTTACCTGTTTTATTCCCCATGGGATACTTAATATAGATGTACCCATCATTGTATTCCATATCATAAATCTAGGAAGAAAAAAAAAAAGCCAGTGAATATCTTAAGAAGCACTCTTACTTCATACTATCCTCTTCATTACAACAGTTATGCATACAGTACAGAACAATCAAAAATTACGCATTTTCTGACTAATATATGGCAAGGTGCTTAACATACATTGTCACTATACTGGAGTTTTTACCATAGCCATCTGTGCAACTGTCAACTTTAAAAGCAGTTCCTAACGGACTGTACACGTAGATTTCATCAGGAGCTGGAAGTACATGATCAGGAGCAATCTAACAAATGGACAAAAAATAAGTCTTATTAGTAACACCGAAGTAACTATAATCCCAAATATAGCAAGCTAACTGTTGTAAATCACTAAATCTTTCCATAAAAAGTACATTTAAAAAAATAAGTTTAGACCACATTAATCTTCTCCCCATGAAAAAAAAATAGTTGATAGGATTTTTAGTGAGATAGCAGAAAAATAGATTTTTCTTCTGCAAAATGTCTGTAACATACTATGTGTTCAAACATTGCAGCTGACTGCTGCTTAAATCCTCTTACAGATGGGAGAAATGAGCACACACATCTGGGCAGCCTGGACCACTGTTGCAAAATTCAAGCTGTTTGTATGTTTTCTTTGGGTGGTGAAGGCATTGCACAAGAAGTCAATCACAACTTGTGATAACACGAGACCTTGCTAAGGCACTCAGCTACCAGATATTTACTTCAAAGCAAGCTGCAGAGCGATTCTCCCCATACCTTTATTTGTGCATCTTTTACAAACCTAGGCTGTGGAAGACCTAATGTGCCAGAGACCACTTGGTTAATCTGGCCCTGTCTTTGCCTTACCAATGCCCTGTCTGCAGGAGATGTGAGCCTGCTGTAGTAATGAATCCGCTTATTCATTGCTGAAGCTTCATCAGTGACTCTTTGCATGTCATCGTTCACATTGACTATGTTTGTAGGCTCCACATGAAATGGTCTAAAGGAGAGGGAAAAAAGAAAGAAAAGAAAAACCCTTAGAACCCTAGAACACAAGAGCTAACATGCAACTCAGAGAACAGCTTAGCAGGATGAGTCTGTCATTCACTGACACAAAGCAAGTACAGAAATATCACTGGCATGAGGCAAGCTGCCATCCATGAAAGAACTATGTGTTTATTATATCATCCATATTAAAATGGCCTCTTGCCAGATTCTGCAGAGCAACCTGACATCAAAATTCAGACCCAATATCTAGTCTATTAGTTCTCAACAGTGAGTCGCACCAGAACTTCACATTTATATAAACCTGGCCAAGCTTATTAGTGCTTAGAATTGGTGTTGCCACAACTAGTGACGAGGAACAGAGGTAGAAACAGAAAGTGTGAGAATACAGAAGCAGAAAGAAGATGAAGAAAAAGAGAGAAATAAGCGGTGGTAATGAGGACCACCTATGAAAAGGCAAGGAACTGCCAATCTAGCCAAAACCACTGTATGAGACTGTGTTTAATGGGGAAGGAACCAAGCCCAAATAAGTCCATGTGCTCATCTCATACTATTTTTAAGACAATGCAACCTGGAATAGAATTTCTCACAGAACATAGAAGAACAGTTGTCCATTTGCAGTTCTGAACTACTTCACCACTTCCCTTCAGATTTAATTAGGGCAATCACAGAGAACAGGACTGTCAACAACGGAAGTCCTGCATGTGTCACACAGAGATGTAAGGAATACAGGTGGTCTCCTTTCCCTCTTTCCCAGCTGAGTTAGACGGCAGGCACGGTCACAGCCACTAAAGGAGAAAGCAACCACAGCACACGCCTCTTGTTTTCTCTGCACACACGTAGGTACACAGCAAGCAGAGGGAAAGCCGCTTCTAAAGTTACAACACAAAACAAATCTAGCCTCATGCAAGGGATGCTACCAGAGATATGCGACCTATTCAAGATACTGCAGAGATTTCTTTTTTTAATCAAGCGTAATTTACTTCCATATAAGCATACTATACTATTGCCTAAATGCAACGTTCACTCCTAGCACTGAAAGGCTAATTTCTCAAACAAGAGAGAGGATACAAGTGACCTGTAAGAGTTAATACAGGGTTTTGGGGTTTTTTCCCTTTCACTGGTGCTTTTAATTTCCAAAGAAATCTCAACAGCGTTCCAAACTTCTTCTTCCAGGTTTATGGTTAAATCACTCAGAAACAAGAACCACCCCAAAACCAGAATCCACAAAAGTACAAACCACAACAAGTTTCAGGCTACCAAGAGCAGAAATTAGGATAGTAATACATCCATGCCATTTTCCATGTAATATGAGCAAAGCCTACTTGAATTGACTGTTTTTCAATATCCATTTCTGGCTCAGACTACAAATGAACTTGGTCTACCCCTCCTGCCCCAGCTCTCAATACCGTGACAAAGGTCCCATTCTCTTTCCCAGTGAATCATTAAGCACTTGCACCGTGGCACTAACTTTTATCTGGAAGGAAGAAAAGGAATGCAGCTCTGAAGCTGGTTGTTATAATCCTTGGAAGAGATTAAGGTAGGTCCTTATTCCTGTGTGCTTAAGGGGACACAGCAGGTAAGAGCAAAAAAAACTAAAACTAAAAAAAAAAAAATCAGTGGCAAAAAAACTAAAAAAAAAAAAACAAAACCAAACAGTGGCAAAAGTGGAAAACAGAGAAAAATAACTTCGTTCTACACAAATTCATTTTTTCCTTCACCTTAGACTTCATTAATTCTTCCATACTCCTTCATCATGGAAAAAAGGGTTTAGATTTGCTAAGCCATTTCCCACTTACTGAAACGAAAGTGAACACACTTTCAATTTTTAAAACTCTTTTTCCCCTTTTTGTGCGTGGACTTCTGTGGTGTTCCTGTAAACAATTAAGAGACGTACTGCAATTACACAGAAATAAATTTTACACAATAGCTTTATTACTCAAGTCAGAGGCATGCAGGGCTAAATTATGGACTGTCAGCTCTAAAGGACTTTGCTTGTTTTAGCTTAAAATTTACCGGGCTGATCCAATCGTTGGACACTGCTAAAAAATATTTCATTACAAGACCTGTGAAATAAAGACTGTAGTTATGAAATCACGAAATGCAGTATGTTTAAATGCCTGCCTAGCTCCAGTCAGCTCTCTGCCATTTTCTTCTTGGATCACTGACACACATTATATTTAGAACACAGAAAGTATATGTTTTCCTAACTATATGGCAACTGCATAGTGTGAAGAGCTTTGTGAGGACTACCTCTTTCCTTATCTCCAGTTAATACTATTAGTACATTCCCATAAGCTTCCATTGCTACCGTGGAAAAATTATACTGAGACAAAGTCTACACTTTGCTTCAAAGTGAGCAGATCTGTAGCAAAGATTTCTTTCAAAATTGTGTTCAACAACTGCTGACACGGATGTCAAAGAAAATCCTTCCAGACTGAAGATAGTGGGAGATTATTTTTTACAGCAATTCCAAGTTAAAGCCATGGATGGTTTTAAAATTAGAATAACAGAAAATATGAATATAACATCATATTTTATAGGGAAAGCAGTGTTGTTAGTCAATGACCAAACAAATATCAAGAAAAAATTTCATGTGTAGCAAAAACGTATCTGTCTGTAGGTAAGAAATTCTTTAGAGAAAGATACTTCATTTTCTTCAGTATTATGAACAGAGTCTGGATTGGACAAACAATTTGTGGTCCAGCACAAAACAGAAGGGCATGATCCAGAATCCAATCTATGACTGAGGGGGGGAAAACAGAAAATAATAATCTAACAACCCCAAAGAAATTCTATATATCTGTTGCTGCTGCATCCTGCCTGGAGGACTGTACATGTTTAATGATGCCAGTACTTGGGTTACCTCCCCTCTTAATGCCTTCTGGTGTGCATCTGTCAAGAATGAAAATTATCTAAAGCAGCAATTAATTTTCTTTTTCTCAGGGTACCACTGCACCCCTAGTCTTACTGAGCAAGTAACTATGCCAAAATAGACTGTCCACCCATCAGTTTTATGGTTGTTAGAGATCTCTCTGAAAATATCAGCCTGAGTTGAAGGCTATGCAGGCAGGCTGGGATGCAACCTTCCTCCCTGATCCCCACCAGGAAAGGGTAACACTCTGTCTAGGATTAAGGTAATTTCCCAGCTCCCAGCTACACCCAGATCAAAGACTGGTAGTAGGGCATACTCAGACAGAAGTCTGAGAAGCTCTCAAAGACATTCTCAAAGACTGCGATTTTCAAAGCCCAAAGCAGATAGGACATAATCTGGAATGTATTTTGGAGAACTCTCTTTAGGGACCTTAAGTCTAGCAGACAAGCACTCTGTTCATCAGCACCTGCAACAGTTTCCTAGAAAACTTTCTCATTTATCCAGGCAATCACATCATATCTCTCATGTGGCAAAATGATTATGAAAGGGATGTGGGACAATATGACCCAGGGGAAGAGGAGAGGTTTACATGACTGGAGGGTGTGACTACTAATGCAGAACAGTGCAAACAATTTCCATGCATTGAGATAGACTATAGTGTTCAATAATTTATCAGAGCCATACTAAAAAACACAATTACAACTTATATTTCAATAGCCAGCCTGAAAAACAATCCTCTTTTTACCAGGGCAAACACACCTGTTTTCCACAGGACAGTGAATACGGATAAGATGCAGTTTCTTATGCAGGAGGCCCACACCTCGCATACACTACACCGCATACATGTACTTCAGAAACTATTCCCAGAAAACCTGCAGCTACACTCATCTGCTAGCTATTTCACACTCACACAAAGGGACAGTTAATAAGAATTCTAGTGCTGGTCCAGGAAAAGAGAGAACGGGGCTTCTGTCCAAACTTCCTCACATTATGAACTTGGGTAGCAATTTTTGCAAGCAAAGAAAATGATATGTTCATGATTAAAGTTGTTTCCAAATATGCTAAGCAAAGTTCAAGTGTTGGATTTGGAGGGTTAGGAGGAACAGCACAATAGGGAAATTTGTTTGGCAAACTACATAAGAATCTTCCAATTGCTAGCATCCATAAGGATGCCACATCTTTTTTCTGGTTATTTTCAGCAATGTACTACATCTTGCAGAGCAATGAAGCAGTATGATGAATACCAATCTCAAGAAGTTTTAAGCTAATACTGTTTTCCAAGTACCTTTGCTGAAATATTTTTAAACAGCAAACAATTGGTTCTAGGCATCTGATCAAAAGTAGTGTTCTGAGTATTGAGCTGTTACAATAGCTTACAATTTTTTGTGTCAGTGTGTCTTTTGGCTCTACATGGTGGTATTAATGACTTCACATTACAAAAACTTTATTAAAGATGAAAAAAATTTCTTTACAGGATGCTTAACAATTTCTTTCCTCTCCTTCAAAAAGACCATGAGGAGCCACTTCAGCTTATTGCACAGATTTCAGGGATGCAATAGAATGCTAGTAAATTTCTCTGGCTTTGTTTAACACAGTCATCAAACCATTATAGGAATGCTGTATCTGGCACAGGAGAAACTAAGGAGTAAAACTGATTCACTAAGTGATAAGTACTATTGTAGTTTTGCTTAAGCCATAACAGATAGGTGGTTGGAAAGAATTTAAGTTTCCAGGTACCCAAGTATTCGGGTATAGGGTTAACTAGCCTTGGCTGACACCACTTATTTTAGCCATGATTAGTCTCTACCTGGTTGTCACCTTCCTGCCCTTCTATGGAAGAAAGAGAGGATTAACTGTAAACTTGGGTATGCAATATAACCGAAACAATAGAGTGCAGGTGCCAGAATAAGGAGTTCAACTGAGAGAAAGACTTTGAGCCTTCACCCCACGACCCTCAAAGACGACGCCTAGAGAACACTGCACAGACGCAAGTGTGAGGGTATAAATGTAAATAACTTCGGGAAAATAATTTGAATATGTATAAGATTTTTGAGAAATGGCATGAATATGAATGACTGTCCTAAATAAATATGTGGAAGTGAGACTAACCAGTGTGCATGCAGGAGGATCATGGAGGTGATCTCCCATGCATCCAGCGCTGGAATAAAGCTTTGCTTCACAGACTTTGTCCTCTCTTAAAAACTACATAGATGAATGTTTCTCACAACTATCATGGAAATTAAAGAAAGGAGAAAAAGTAGTAAGATGACTACTATATTCATAGGTTGCTATTTCTTAATCTGGAACTGTCTATCTGGATAGGGACACTGCAGATGTCAGGGCGCTTCTCTTAAGGATATCTGTTCCAAATAATTCCACGACTGATTTGGTTTTTACTTTCTAAGGTGTCTGAATTTACTTTAGCTTTGTAAACAGTATGCTTACAGTTTATCCTATAAGAACTTTATTCTCTTGGCAGTACATTTTACTTAAACTTTTTCCACATTCACATCACCATTGTAATTATAATGATTACAGCATGACCACGCAAGTATCTTAAAATGCTGCATGCAGAACCAAAACCACCTTTCAGAGCACAATACTAAATCACCTCTGTTGCTCACAGGATACACATTTTAAAACAAAGAATCACAAGCTTTACCATACCACATTTCAAGCACTGTTCCCTCTTCTGTGTCAAAGGCAAAGTTATTCTACTCTTCTCTTACAAAGAAGTACTTCTCTTACTTTCTTAATTAAGAAAATTCTGATTCTTCCCAGTTAGGAAGTAGTAACATTAGGAATTAATAAAAACATTAGCAACACAGAAAAATGACAAGCAGGCAATGGAGTAAAAAGACCACATGGGTTTGAAGTGGTAAAAACAAAGAATGCAGAAACATCCGTTTTTCACAGGCTAGTCCCAACCATTGCATACCTTTTTGTAAGTTAAAAGAACTTTGAAAATAAAAGGGAACCAGCCATCTCTGCATGAAAAAGGCTTCTCTGACTGCCATGTACAGACACCGTTTAACTTGTAACTGTTTAATTTCACCTACATTGTATGAGAACACTACAGGACTTCAAACAGAACAAAAAAAGGAAGGCGGCTTGATCTCCCTTTAGCAGGGGGCATTATCAAGTTTTTCATATGCAAAACAACCAACACAAAACATCATTTGTTTCTTTGAAGGTTCAAGCATTCATGAAGACAACCGCAGTATCTGTTGACAATAAAGAAATTTAAAGAGCAGCCAGAAGAAAAAAAGAAACTCTCCCTCTTGCATACAATAATTATCGGTAAGCCATTGCAGCAATGACATCCTACTTCTTAAAGGCACCTAGAAAATGGGAAAACACACTTAATAAGTGCGAGTAATTCAGGTCATTGTGAAGAACAGTAACATCCTCTTTAAAAGGATTAAAAGTGGCTTTATATTTCCCCCAAATTAGCAAAAGAATACTAGACAAAATAATTTACAACTCTGAAAAACAATCAGCTTATTGTTCTTACGTAAACACTAAAAAGCATGCCTTTCAAAAATCCCAAATCCTCCAAGCTGTTAAGAAAACTAAATAACTATGTAAATGCCGTCAAATGTCAAACAACCCAAACAAAAGAACAGAACAGCACTAAGACAGAAAAACAGTGACTATAAGCAAATCACACAAAACACTTCAAGAGCTATCTCAACCAAAGGAAAATAACGACCTACCTATGTCTGATGAGGTTCCTGAAAAGTAAGTTAAAAAAAGGAGCAAACTAAGCGGAGAAAATCACGTACTATTGCACTTGCACTGTTCGATACTTTCATGCAAAATAAACGTCTATCCCTGGAGCTGCTACTCCCTAAAGCTCTAATAAAGAAGTCCTTCAAACCACCCAGTGCTCTGACCACGACTAACAGAGACCCTGATGCCCTCTACTTCCTCATTCCTTCTTCTAAAGACTGCAGCTGCCTCTTCTGATATATAGAGACGGAGTTCAACCTTGTTTGGCCCCACTAAGATTTTCAGGCCTTCTTGATATCCCAGGGCTCATGCCCGTCATCTTTGTGCCTCTGCATGCTTCAAAGGCAAAAGACTAGGTTAGAGAAAATGGGAGAACTAACTCAAGGGAGGAGCAATAAGGACAAAGTGGTTGGATCTGCAAAGCTGGAGGTTGTGGTAGCGGGAACATAGTCCAACTACATGCTTTTGCTTTTGGAGAGGGAACCAAATGCCACATACTATGACCTTTTATGAAGCTGGGTCTCCAAACTCAAGAAATCACAAGAAAAAAACCAACAAACCACAGAATGAGGAAACACCACCCAACCTCACTTTTGAAAAGTCATCTCGATATATTCTGTCATTGCTTCTGCATCACTACACTGCCTGAAATCCATTGATTCTCAAACAGAACACATACTTCTTCTGACACAAGGAGCTCCCAAAAGCCATCTAGATTAGCAGTCTCCTTATGCCATGAGGGGCTCAGACACTCCACAGAAAGAAGATAAAGCAAGAATTAATTTTGCACATTTCCTTTTCCCACCTGAAATTACTCTACTGTTTCCTAACCTTTATATACACAATTCTGTATGCTCCTACATCTGTGCTCCATTTATTCCCCTGGGCTCACTCAGACCATTATTCTTCTTCCTTTGCTCGCACAGAAATCAAAGATTGTTTAGCGCCTGGCTGACCTGTAAGTAGGCTCCCATGGCTTTGTAAAGCTGCAGGCTGACACACCAGCAGAACACTATCGAGTACTCCGTTTTTGCTGAAGCGGCCCCTAAGAAGAGGCTTTTGTATGCAACAGCGCCATCTTCAGTTCCTTCAGGAAAACTGCTCTACTGAAATACGATGCCGGATGCAAAGAGGGAAAAAAAGGACCCATAAACAGGGCCCAAGAGGTAGCATTGGGGCTATTCCTTCGTCTAAAAAAAGCACAGCTGGTGCCTCCAGCTAGCATCGGAAGGGCAGTTCCCACTTCGATCTCAGTTTTGCTTCCAGGACCAGTTCAGAAAAATCTTAACTTCAACAGCAGAGGAAGTCTCCCATTCCAACCTCCCTTGGGGAACAAAGCTGTTAAACTCTAAGAAAGCATACAAAATAACTGCTTAGCTAGATATGTGTTATTTTCGCAGGCACGGTGAAAAGGCTGTGCTGCCAAATTTTTCATATTTGCTCAATCTCAAAACCCACATTTTTCTTCTTGAAGGCAGTAAAGGTCGCTCAATTCCCTCAGTACGAGCAAATAATGTATTTTTCCAGCATCACCTATAGAACGCATACAGAGCCATTTACGCATACAGACAGCCATTTATCTACAGCATCTGGCAAGCTTTCTTTCATAGTCAACATTTAGTTTGTTGTGCTAAATAAAAAACCGTAATGCTTCAGCATACACACATGATATTCAGTGTTTGAAGAGCACTTTAAAAGCCACATGCCAAGTTCTTATTGGAGCACTCTCTCTGAAGTGATGTCAATAGAAAAGTCTTATCTTTATAAACAAAACACAGTACGAACATCTGTTCACCTGGTGCTTGGAAATAACATCATATAGAGAGAAACTAGGAACTGTTTGTACTCAGATCCTGGTTTCCAAATGTTAGTCTTCTGTCTGACCAGCCCTCTGTTGCTAAAAACAAAGATTAAACATCTCATTGCTATGTAATCATTCTGTAGGTTCAGCCTTCCTCGTACCTTTTGCACTTAAAGTCTTCTGGATTGAACTGTATATTCATGATTCCATAACTGCTTTCATCGCCTCCCACAGGAACCAAGAGAGGTTTGGTATCCTCTTCCATATTTGGTGAATGTGCCTCCTTCTTCTAGATTCTGTCAGTTATTCTGACCTAAAAAAACAAAGTAAGACAACTGCAGTTAAGCAACACTGTGTCCCGGTTACAAATTTAACACTGGCAGAGTTTCACAGCTTCAGAAGCTCCTGGGGTGAAAAGCACCAGAAAATCCCTTCAACTTGCTGCTTGAGAATTCTCATTCCATAATGCAAACATCATGGGGTGACTGGGGACGGTATTTTTTAATAACACACTATCCATTTAAGTGGTCAATGTACAACTGTGCTCTGAATCTTTTTTAGTATGGCAACAAGCAATATAAATTAAAGGAATATGATGGATGCCATTGCTTATTATTGGGACTGAAACAGGTTTGTAAAAAGTGATGCTTGGAATCTGAATTTCCTTTGAGCTACGGCAGCCAAGAATCAAGTCCATCACATGCAAATTAACATTAAGTATATTCATATGTAGATTTTATCTTCCTGCGTTCAAAGCATGGGACTCTTTTCTTACTGCTCCATTATAAGACCAGCATAATTTTTAAAGGAACTGTATTTCCAATTTGTAACAGGACAGCTGAAAACAATTTATCACAGTTATTATTGTTTCACTAAATTACTTCAAACTTTGCAGTAGACACATAAGCAGTTTTCCAGTGTATTTCCCAGAATAAAGATCAGATTATTGCAGTCTACTGTGTCCAGGCTCTTTGAATTTAAGGCAATGAATGGTTTAATAACGCATTAATAATAACGTATTATATGCATTCAGAGCACTCTGGCCAAACAATGGGGAGCAGATCACTTTTAAGCTAATGGAATTCTACTTAGACTGAATTACAGACCTCACATGGGACTTGCTGTGGTCTCGTGTGCAGCTGAACAAACGTAATGGCTTTAACGGCTCTCATCTCTGCTACCTCCTGAAAAATTCCTCAGTCAGGTCTCCTTCTTCAAACAAAAATTGTAGAAGTATCTGCTCTTTCAGTGGGACTGTTTCCTGATGCTTTAAAATGTTAGGCTGATAGAAAGACAGATGAGAACCAGAGCTGGTACAAGATAAGGAAGGATGGCACTGGATGTTTGAAAGCTGGGGTGGTGATGGAGGAAGATAGGATAGAAAAAATAAGCTGTGTATCATCCTCCTGCATCCTCATGGAAATACACTGTAAAGGCCCAGTTCCAGAAATGACATCAACCGAATTTAAGCACTGAGCTGGTTCTATCCCTTCCTAGTTGCATGTTACCAATCCTCTTGCATTAGCTCATCTTGCTAATGGCTCTGGCAAAAAAACCCAAAGAATCGGAAAGAGAGGGTGAAAAAGGAAGGAAAGTTAGCAGTTTTCAAGCATGCCCACCCTCTAAGGGTCAAACAATTGCTAAACGAGGAGTGGGAAAATACTGAAGGAGTGCAAGGCAGAGACTGCAGAAGCACTGACTAAGACCAGCTCAGTCTGCTGAGGCATCACCTCCCCTCTCCCTCCCCAACCCCAGTGCACTGAGCACAGGTAACAGCTCTCTGCTCTCAAGAGGAGGGCACCACTGGAGGCTCCAGTTCACGGAAATCCTACTGAAAGCACCAGTCCTGCCCTTGACAGCTCAAGGGCATTTCTGTGATCCCACACTAAACCGGTCTGGGACAACTGATCCAGATCAAAATTAACCATTCTTTCCTTTGCTTTAAATCCAAATCAATGTTGAGCTTGGGGTTTGCTCTCTGGCTGCATACACTTGCAAGCTTGTGTGAAGGACAGGATACTGCACGGGTGAAGCCACTTCATCCGGCAGCACTGCCAGCTTCCTTCTAGTTTCAGCATCCATGACAAGAGATTTGAACGAGGTCACTAAGTTAAAAGGCACGATTTTGAGTTTAAAGGCATGCTTTTCTCTTGATCATTTTAGCTCTTTGAGAGGGCATAATAAGCAATCAGTGATAATAATCTAAGCAATCTTAAAAGCCTTATTTGCACTCCCTGATAGCAAACTCTTTCTCTTGCACTTCATTTTTGTTGTCACAGTCTCTAAAGCTTTTTTCCTTTCCCCTTTCCAGAGCCTTTCCAAGACTGGGCTTCTCTTACCTACCTTAACTTACTGCTTCCTCTCTTCTACTGCTCTAGCTCTTCTATAAACCATCAGTTCAGATTCTTTACCCTAAAATCGTTCTCTTCCACATCATTGCTCCTAGTTCTTCAGCCTCAATTGAACATCTTACATTCTCTCATCCTTCTCAGCTCCTCTGGTGATGCTTAGCTCATGAATTCCTGCTCCTCATCTCCTCTCTGTTTTCTGTCTCTCCTACACACTGTCCAAATTGCTTTCCAAACCTGCCTTTACTAAGCACTGCGTAGTTCACAGCAATTCAGTCTCACAAATGCAGAAAACATTGATCCCCAGTTTGATTGTCTCTGCACTATGGCTATAAATAAAGGACCTAGAACATTTTACAGTATTCCACAAAGAAAAATAATCCTTGCAAAACACAGCATACGCTAAGTTTGGCTTGATAGCACAATTTGGGGCTCACAGAGTTGTTGCTTACTGACTCTTTAGGGTCTACTTAAAAGCTGGATAGGTGAAGACAGTTTACTTTTTAAGTGCTTATTGTTAAGAACCAGTAGGTGAAGCTTATGACCAGCAAACTGATTACTTTACAAATAGATGCAATTATCACATATGTAAAGGCTGCAGCCAGTACAGCTTAAAACACAATTAAGAGCAAAATTATGAAGAAAGAACCTGACCAACCTCTCTTTTATCCAATTTCTACCCTTTCAGGCTTGACCACACTCTCAACAAACATTTTTAATATATGGGATGGAGCCAGTTGTGCTATCTGAACTTAGTGCCTGACAGTCTCCATTACAGTAATATCTTCTCAACCGCTTACTCTTCTAGTGTCCTAGTTACTTAAAAGATTTTTTTATACCAGGTATCTGATCTACATTCACTGCATTCCAGCTGTTTCTTTTAAAAACCTGTGATAACACATGGTCTTAAAAGACTACAATCAGGTGTCACCATTTAAGGCTGGGCTGGCAATTAAAGCAGATTAACAGTTGCTCTCTATTAACCCCTTCCTTCCCCAGAAGGGAGAGGAAAGGAGAAAAGGGAGAGAGACTTATCGGTTGGAAAATTAAAACTATTTTAATAAAACAGTAAGAATGAAAAAGAGTATAATACTACTAATACTAGTAATAACAAAAATATACAAAACCAATATTGAGCTTCCCAATGATGATCACGGGATTGCATGCTGCGGTGGCTCACACCACTGACGTGTCAGGATGGGCACTGGGATGTTGCAGACTGGATTCAGCAGTAGATGGGAACCGGGTTCAGCAATGTACAGACTGGGACTGGAGGCAGGAGAGGAAGCAGAGTACAGGGATGCCTGCCATGAAAGAAGAGCTGATCCCTGTGATCCCTTAGCTTTATACTGAGTATGAGGTGTATGGGATGGAATACTTCATTGGTCAGTCCTTGGCCACCTGTCCTGTCCAATCATTCCTGCAGGTTCGACCCTTTTATGCCTTTTCACTTGTGGACCATAACAGAGCCAGAAGCGATCTTAGTTCCCACAGGAATAAGTATAAACATGGACCTTCCTGTATACCAATCCTACCGTTACCTTGGTAACAAATGTAAGCATCAAGCACTATCAATTCTAAAAGCAGACACTGTCTGAAAACCATGTAGTCAACTTCTGAAAGTGCAGTTACTCAGAAGAAACTTAACTGAAGGAAAAAATCTACTGAAAGGAGAATTGTTCCTGTTTTAGCCAAACCAGGACATCAGGACTGGGATGTCAAACACAAAGAATTCACGTCAAAAATCAAAGTTGCTTGACAAACCTCATTCTGCTTGTATATTTTATGATACACCATGGTTACAGTTTCCACTAGGCCACTGTCGCACTCAGACAATTACCATGGATCTCTGGGAATTAATGGCTGCTTAGGAACAAAAAAGGCAGTTTTAAGGATATCTGACTCATTTGTTGTCAAACTGGATTTTCCTGCACATGGGAAAGAGGTTCCTGCTAGCAGTAGTGTACCCGGAACTGGTGATATGAATTCATGGTACTTTGTCTTCAGCAGCGCTATGAGTTAAAAGCATTGCTGTTACCTGCTTCTCATTCTCAGTCTTTTCTCCCCCTGTTTGTGGTGGCACAGCTATTTGTCTTCTTTCTTGTCTTGGTGGAGTGAACAGGACTGGGGAATAGACCTGGCTGAAAAAATCAATCTAGAGGAAGATAATTGTTTTGGGTCTGGTTTGTGGTTGTCTGGGTTGTAGTTCTGCAGAACCAGCAGTTTCACTGTCCAGTTGAAGAGACACAGGTATGGTTTGTGGAAGAAGGAAGGGAATACTGCTACAAGCGTAAGTAAAACCACAGCCTGAGGGACCACCTACCTCTGACAGTATGTTCCTTTTTTTTGACTTCTGCTTAGAACCTACTTCATGTAAAGCTGCAAAACAACAGAGCATTTGTGCTGTGCACCACTGAATGATGTTAAATATTTTGAAAGCAACCAATTAACTCTCAAACTGAGCATTTAAAATTCATGGATTTTCTCCTGTGCTTTATTCCCTGTCCTCAGAATAAGAATAATGCCAATACTTGCCTTAGCTCACAGACACGCTGTGAAGCGAAATTAACTTTTATGTAAAATTTAGCTGCGATTCATACTAAGCACTGCAAAAAAAAGTCCAAGAGGAACAGTTACAGTTTGTTGAGCAGCAAATAACACAGATCAGTCTCATGCAAAAGTGAACTGAACACTATTACTTTGCTGCTCTAACAGAACATTCCCTATTTTGAGAACTGTCCAGCTGGAGAAAAATAATGACCTGATAACTAAGTATTTCTAATCAATACCACAATTCATAAGTACCAAGATGACTAAGATTGCCTCGACAATTTTAATTTTCATTAAACTTAGGTAAGTTTAAAACTCCAAGCTTTGAATACTTCAGCTTTGCAACCTCTGTGCTTTTAGACACAGGTTTCTATGCTAAATTATCTGTGCACAGACACTATGTTCACTTTGTA